AAGCTAAAAAACTTGGAGCTACATCACTGGGGTATTCTAACAGGTTAAACAATAAGTATTTTGTAGAATATGGTGGTAAAAGAAACATTTTGGTTCGGTAAAAAAGATGATTTTTTAATTCATGGCGATGAAAAGACGAGAGTAAAATATTTTGAAAGAGTTAAGAAAATTAAAAATAAAGATGATGAGTATACTTATAAATTACCCAGATATGCTAATTTCTGGAACGTAAATTTTCTCTGGTAAATAAGGGTTAAAAACAAGAAAATATTGAATGAAGATGCAAAAGCAAAGAATATTTATTCTCGAAAAGAAATTTTATATACATCCAGTATTTTCTAATTATGCAGCATCTAAAGATGGTGAGATTGTAAACATAAAAACAAAAAGAATTTTAAAGATCCAAAAAAATAATTCAGGATATTGTCAGTTTTCAGTATATGATAAAAAACTTGAAAAACCTAAGAAATATCTTCAACACAGATTTGTTTTTGAGTCAATTAAGGGAGTTATACCAGATGGTTTTGTAATTGACCATTGTGATAATTGTAAATCAGACAATAGACTTGAAAATTTGCAATTATTGACTCCTTTTGAAAATCATAACAAAAGCCATAACCAATCAATTATTTCAATTAATGTTAAAACAAACGAAGAAAAAGTTTATATAACAATTAAAACAGCATCGAATGAATTAAAAATAGATGCTTCAAATATTTCTAAAATTTGTAACCCAAAAAAATGCTATAAAACAGCCACTTCAAAAAAGGACGGAAATAAGTATCGATTTGAATTTTTAAATAAGGTTTAAGGATTAAATTAATTAATTAGCAATTAATGAATGAGACTGAGTATCTTATGAAGAATTATGGCGATCGAGGAGCGTGTTATCCCTTGAGGCCGTAGGCCGAGGCGGATAACACCCTCCGAAATCTCCATAATACTTCATATGATACGAAAGCCAAATTCAATAATTGTTTTATTATTCATTCAAAATAATTCCTAGTTTAAAAACATAGCTAAAACAAGCTTACCTGCGTTGATGTTAAGTTTATCTTCGATAGTTTACGTTTAGGTTTGTCCAGCTCCGCAAATATCAGGCCCGTAACCAAGGGGGGTGCACGGGGTGCGTTCGCCCCCCCCCAGGCCCCACAGGCCCCAAAGGTCCGCATGTTGATACTCAATATCCAAGTTAAGGCGTGCAGTCGGTTAAACTGAAGTCTCAAACTTAACAGTGATATTTAAACAAAATCAAAGAATGGAAAAAGCAGTGGTGTATTCACTGGGAAAATAAAACCAGCTACATTCTAGTAGCCCGAGCCATTCAGAGCATTTCAATGAGCTCACAGATGTCCGAGCTTATGTAAATGAATAATGAAATTAACGTGCGCCACAACGTCGCTACACCCACGGAGGCTGGAGCTCGGAACTGTTCTGACGGATTAGTTCCGCAGTATTTTGATGTATCATTTTACATCGTAAAATTACTCCTTTATAACTAAATTCAAACAGTTGTATTCGAAAAATGTAATATTCAGCCTACCGTGTACTTTGCTGTTACAATTTCTCATGTATTGCTACTTTCCCAAATAAACGGATCAGACGATAAAAAATACATTTCCGTAGTTGGGTCCGCTTTGGCCTCGCTAGCACCCCCCCACATAAAATCCTGGTTACGGGCCTGAATATTCTTCAAATAGCAGATGTCGCCCTCCGAGTTGTCTTCTTGCTGTTTTTGGTATGCTTTTTGCTATTATTATGCCTAGTTCCAGCTGTAGTTTTTACTCTTGCAACGAGTGAAGTGTCTGCCATTTTTATTTTTGCAACCAAAACAACTCAGCCTCGTTCCCACGGCGCCTTAACCTGTAAGAACGCTGCATTTTTGATGTCCTTTCCTCGTTAAAGTCAAAATTCTTTCAAATTTTGCTCATCAGTAACTGGTTATGGTGAATTATGCGTGTTCTTTTAGCCAATCAGAATTGGGGAAATATTTTGAATGAATAATAATTGTCAATTAAGTCACGGCAGGATCCAATTACTGGTCACGGGTGAGCTTAACAAACGTATTGACATTATTTTAAGACCGTACCTGTTTCGTTATTTATAATGATAATAATAATAACGATCGATGATGATTGTTTATTAAAATACACATGGTGGCATAAAAACTATGAATTACAATGTGCTTACATAAGTTACAACTAAAAATAAAATTAAATTTGTTTCAGAGGGACTGGGATTACAGGCTATTTATAAGTTACTTACAATTCAGATATAGATAAAGGAGAATACTAGAGATAACTAGACTCGTAAGATTAGTTAATTTTCGCCATTGCTGGGAAAAAACTAGAACCGAAGCGTTTTGTTCTATACTGGAAGCGGCTAGAACTGCTACTGTTCCTAAGATGGTAAGAGTGGCATTCGGATCGCACGGGAGGGAGAAGGCGGTGCTGCTGGCCATCCGGGTTATTTTTGATATTGTGCCACACTTTAAGACACAGGTGGGTATGGAAAGCGAAATGGTGCAAAATTCAAGAAGCAAAATTGTCTTCACATTCAACAAATTTTTTATCAAGGTCAAGAGAGATTTCAATCAAGCTCACCAAAATCAAGTCACGTTCAACGGATTTTCTTTCAAGGTCACGGCATATTTTAATCAAGCTCAACAACAAAAATTAACACATTCAACAAATTTCAATTCAACGCCTAGAGAGTATTGCGTCAAGCTCAAGAAATGAGCTTTCCTTTCTTTCAACGAAACGTTTTTCCACAGGTAACCCAAGCTCACTATGAGAGCCCTGAACAACATTATCCTACTTAGCTAATTAATTATTCATACAGCAAGAAAATTATAAGACGTTGTATGGAGAAATATTCTTTGCTCACTAAATTAGCAAAATGTACATTGAATATCGCTTTGAAGCTTACCTTTAGCGTCTTCTTGTTTTTCTTTGTATTCTGACAGCATTACAGACCTCCTAGGCACTGTTTAAGGCCTTTTTTGGAGCGACAGTTTTTAACCCAGATGACAGTAGAGAAAAAATGGAAAAATTATTCGCAACACTTGTCATTTTCTTCATTTTTCTTATTAAAATGGAATTATGGAGAATTGAGCGATAAGTACGCTTTTTTTCTATTTTTTCATTTTTTGAACAAAATGGAAAAAATGAAAAAATGGTGCGAATAAATATGATTTTTTTCTTTTTTCCGTTTTTCTATTTTTGGCGAAAAACGGAAAAATAGAAAAATAAGTTAGGAATCGGAGATTATTTCATTTTTGTCATTTTCTAACAATAGCAAGAAAATAAAAAATAGCAAAATATCTCTTTTAGCCGTTTACAGTATTTTTTGTATTTTTGAAGCGGACTTCAAAATTAGAAAAATGAAAAAATGATCAATTTTCCTGACCATTTTCTTTTTTTCTATTTTTGTCTGCACTTTAAAATATGTAAATATGATAAGGATAAGTAATATTTCCTTTTTCCGTTTTTATTGGAAAAATGGAAAATTAGATTGGCCGAAGTGTGCACGGACCCTCGGCGAATACACTACTTGTCATTAGGTCATGATTAGAAGGCGTGCAGTTGATCTTTGACACAAAGTGCTACAAATAGACCATATTTCAATTTTAGCGACCGTATCACGTATTGTATAATAAATGGCTGTGGCGTAAGATTTCTAAGCTCGATTGTAAAATAAGCCGGCGAGCACAGTCAGCGGTCAAACGCAAAAATCCAACGCCTAGTGTTGGTAATCGGGTAGAGCATTTTTTTGGGATCCTAACATCCGAGTTTCGAGTTTTTTATTTAGTTATTATTTTCTAATTTATTTATTTTTCATGCGTTCCGGGTTTTAGTAATTTTGTGTTCCGGGTTTTAGTATTCCGGCGTTCCGGCGTTCCAGCATTCCGGCGTTCCAGCATTCCGGCATTCCATGTCTTAGTGTCGATGTCGAATGATTCTCGAAAACTGAGAAAAACGTTTCGTTGAAAGAAAGGAAAGCTCATTTCTTGAGCTTGACGCAATACTCTCTAGGCGTTGAATTGAAATTTGTTGAATGTGTTAATTTTTGTTGTTGAGCTTGATTAAAATATGCCGTGACCTTGAAAGAAAATCCGTTGAACGTGACTTGATTTTGGTGAGCTTGATTGAAATCTCTCTTGACCTTGATAAAAAATTTGTTGAATGTGAAGACAATTTTGCTTCTTGAATTTTGCACCATTTGGCTTTCCATAGGTGGGTGCGTCTATCCTCTGTTTCTGGAGTCCTACTAAGATTCAACAATTCCAAAAAAAACATTGATTAATAAATTGCAAATAAGCTTAACTGACATAATAAATTGCATATACAACTTATTTACAGAAGCATTCTACGAAAACTAATTGACGATTTCGCTGCAATGTACATGTATAACTCCTCAAATGCTAATCCTCTTCTGCATGTGAGAGATGAATTGCAATGTTTAACTCTTAAGATGTCTCGTAGAAAATGCGTTTTTTTAAACTCTATTTTTCTCCCTAAAATCTGAACATCCTACCTGGTTCAGGAAATCCTGTAGTTGGGTGCTTGAGTGCTCATGTATGGCCATTTTGGAATCCACCGTTGGCAGTTTCACCGCAAGGCTTTTGCGAAAAATGGAGGAATTCCCCTCTTTTTGTCCCTCAGAAACGGCAAAGTGGTTTCCACGGCACTGGGCGCTCAAAAACTGAAGTAGTTATTCGCAGTTAAAGACGATAAAAACGAATACAAATGCGAATAAAAAACGCTGGTAAGCCCCGATGGAACAAGTGGAAGTTTCCTGCTAAAATGAAATTTACCCGCTCGTTTCCATTGTTACCATTGATTGCGTCAAATTACGCGCGTAATCGACGTCATCATTCAGACCCAGTTCTCCCTGAACAGGTCAAAAAATGGCGGAAAGTTGGGAGTATGGTTGATCTGAGCTTCTCTGCTCGACGAAGAATTGCGTAAACAGCCATGTGTTACGACGTTTTGTAAATCATGAGGACGAGAAGTAACTCCATAGTTCGCCTGGATTGGTATCACAGTCTCGTTACCCGAACTATCTTGGATTTTCAGGTACATTGCAATTGATCTGACCTGAATTGACATGGGATCGTTTGCAAGTCAATTTCCACTTTACAAAACGTGTCAGTTGAACATTACTTTGATGTTTATTTAATCTGTCTGTTACAGACACTGTCTTATTGAAACTTATGGCTTCAAATTCTTCTTATTCACGATGACCTGATGAGATTTCAGTTTGCTTATATCGTTCTCTGGATCGATATTTGCAATTTCGTCAGCGACTCGCCCAACCTTAATGCTTCTGTCGCCGTTGGTCCGGAAAGTTATATTCTTTTATCAAGACTTCAAATTTGTGTTTTTTTTCTTATCTTAATATCGAGTACATCGCTGTAAACTAATGATGCACTCGTGTTTCGTTTCTTGACTATATACAGTAGACTGCTTTCATTTCATTTCCGGAAAATACAATATAAACAAACTGGTTCCACGAATACGTGTATCGCCTCTCTCTCCTTCCCTCAGTGTTTGTTTGACGGGGAGATTTATACCTGGCCCTAGTTGTCGAAAAGGTGGATAGTGGGCGCTATATACTGGATACATGTACATAGACATCTCTATATCCACTGGATTGGTTTCCCCAATATTTATCTGGCCCCGGTTGTTCAAACGTTGGATAGCGCTATCCACCCGATAAATCACTATCCAGCGGATAAGTATTACGCAAATCAATTACGCTATCCGCTGGATAGCGATTTATCCGGTGGATAGCGCTATCCAACGTTTGAACAACCCAGGCCTAGTTAACATAAACATTGAAAAGGAAGGAGGTCCAAAATCAGCAAGTGTTTTAACAAGGTTTACGTGTTTTAAAGGCCTGGTTCAGACTCCATACTTTAAGTGGGCTGCATCAAATTCGAATTTAGGGTGACTCAAATTAATTAGGTCAGCTGCAGGGTTCAGAGTTTTGTAGAGCATCCTGCACACCAGATTGCTTCGAGATCCTGGACTCTGCAGCCACTAAGTACCAAGTGAAGCTTAAGGAATCCATGTTTATAAAATGGGAGAAGCCCGATCTCAACCAGCAGGTGAAACACATTAACCTGACTCTCTCCCTGTAAAGAACTAAGCGTCACTCATTTAACTTTGTTTTAGTACGCAATATTGACAACGCAATGTAACAAACTTTGTAAGATTGCGCGTGCTTTAAATTCAATGGCGATTTCAAAATATGTAACACTGAAGATGATGGATGTACCCTCGAAACATGTCTGGAAAATTAAAGAAAGTTGTTATGTTTATATGACTGTCAGCTGAATTGATCTTTATTACAGCCAAACTAAGCTTACACTTAATTTGACTTTGATCAAGGAAATAACTTGAAAATACAGTCCAAGATAGACGGTGACAATATTAACTCATTGAGGATCAGTAAAGCTGTTCGCGTCACTGAAGATTATGCTAATTTATGAGAAACCCGTATTGAGCGGCCAACCTCCTTTAAGCAGCAATTTGACCATACACCAGTGTGGCTGCTTAATGGAGGTTCAATTATGTAAAGTTTCTCTTCTGTTGAGATACATGTAGCTTTGGGAATCACGTATCATGTGATGGAAAATTATGCAGTTCAGACCATGCGCTTAAATGTTCACTTTGTTCCTCTTTGTTCGATATTTTGAGGATGTCAAAATTATCTGTATCTGAAAGTTGAGTCACAGACTAAAGTCATTCAATGGTCCTCACGTAACTTGTTTTTCCAACACACAGGATCCTGTAACAGGTCTTCTTCCACCAAAAATAAACTGGACTAAGTATAAATCAGGATCAACAGATTACCTAGGGGATGCATGGGTAAGAGATAATGTCTATAGCATCCTGGCAGTCTGGGGTCTGTCACTGGCTTATAAAAAGAATGCAGATGTTGATGAAGACAGAGCTAGGGCACATGAACTCACTCAGGTATGATGAAATCCTGCATTTTTGTGACAATCAGACAATATCAGGTCCCAGTTGTTCAAAAGGTGGACTGTGCTATCCACCAGATAAATCTCTATCCACTGGGTAGAGCAGTTGGTGTCCCTAATAATTATCCACTGGATAGTGATTTATCTGGTGCAGGGTGCAAAGAAAATCATTTTAAAGCTTTCCATTTGGGCAAGCTGAAGCTAGCATTTACTAGCCTAAACATCATTATTTTCAACTACCCCCAAAAACTTTTTGACTAGCAGAATTGATTTCACAGTTCTTCTGTTATTCGAATTCCTCAAAAAACATCACTTGCCCATCGGGCAAGTTAAAAACAGAATTCACTAGCCTGATAGCAAAGTCCACTAGCCTTTGGCTATCAGACACTACTCTCTCTGCACGCTGCCGGTGGATAGCGCTATGCAGTTTTTGAACAACTGGAACCAGATGCAATTTTACACTTGTACTGGTATTTGCTTTCCAAGATTATGTAAACTGCATTGTGAAAATACTGACTGAATTGTTGTTGTCTTCAGTCTGTTGTGAAGTGTATGAGGGGTCTTCTGACATGTATGATGAGACAGGTAGGTAGATTAAAAAAAATAATGGTCAATGATTAAATTAGCATGAGTAAGAATGAACTGGTCAAGCCCTAGGATTTGGAATTTCATGGAAAATGTTATTTCGGTTCTGTGACCAGAGATCATTTTTTGCTTCAGTCTGTTAGAATTCATGGTAACCCATTTTGAATTTAGTTAATTTGCATATTAAACCTGTTGTAAAACATACTTGAAAATTTTACGAACATTAAGGTTGTGCAATAACGGCAAAGAAACCTGCCAAAACTTGTGCTATACATTCAGAGTTTTTGTTTAATTGCTTATTTTCTTGTTTTGCTTGTCATTGTGGTTGCACTGAGCTCAATGGTATGTTACCAGGCAAAGCAGTTCTTTACATGCGACGATTTTGCATGAAAAACCAACAATATGATGGAAAACGAAATTAATGTCTTCAGGAACCCATACAGAGGCTTGTTATTTTAATACCAGTAGGTACAAATCTAAGTACAGAAAAAAAAATGTCAGTACCATTGTATGTTAAATTTGTTCTAAGGTTCACAAAGTTGAAAAATTCAAGAAGTCTCAAGCCAAGGAAGATGCTCTTCATGCCAAATACAACTTGAGTAAGTCACTTTTACTTAATTAGAACATATTAACCCTTTGTCCCAATAGTGACCAACATCAATTTTCTCCTAACAATATCCATACACTGTCAAGAGATAAAGTTATGAGAATTAATAACATGATCACCATAGAGAAAATTCCATGATTTTTTATCAAATTCTCTAAACTAATTCTTAAAGGAGATGTATAAAGATCAGTTTGGAGAATTTGTATGTGGATATTGGGGCTTAAAGGGTTAAATACAATTAATGTACAGTAGAATAATTATATACAGGTGTACATGTACAGAGAACCAAAATTTTTACCTTTCACTCTAGATACAATAAGTAATGTTTAAAATGTGAGCAGCAGTGTTTTATGTCATATATCAAGCATGAGGCACAGTGTTTCATCACCAGATGAAACACTGAGAAGAGAGATGAAAATAAAACATGCAGCGGAGTCTTCTTGACAAACTTCAAGGTGTACCAGATGAAACACTGGGTAAAATGCTTGATATTACCTCTCAAACAAAATGATTGTAGAAGGAGAAATTAAGGATGCAAAATGAGCAGTTTTTCACCTGATTTCCAAACACCCATTAAACATTAATTCCCTTTGTATTTTCTTTATGAAATAATAATGCATTTGAGAACACTGGTTAAATTATCTCAGAATACAGTGGCCCTTTAGGAGGGGTAATAAAGTTGTACTTATTGTACTTGAAAATCTAGACTCTCTCTGGTTTACAGTGTACATGTACAACCAAAATTAATCCCTGTCTGCACTCAAAGTTTTCGAAATTGCTGTTGCAATGATCCACTGTAATGTGTATGTAACGAGTATTTTTGTGGTAACTAATGTTTATTACAGAGACCTGTAGTCCTTGCGTTGGAGATCATGCATGGGGACATCTACAGATTGATGCTACCTCTCTGTACCTCCTTATGTTGGCACAAATGACTGCTTCAGGTTAAATTTGTTTAATAATACATGTATCTTATAATGTTTTGTTTTTGCATATTATTATTCATGAATGACTTGAAGCTAGTATTTCTTTCCTTTTTATGAATGATATTTTATAAAAAAAAAATTGGCTTACAGAATGATAAAAGTTACAGTACGAAACGTTGCCTGATTTGATAGTTTAGTATATAAACAGTAATAAATAATTTTTACAAATTAGTTAGCATGAGGTTCAAGTTAGCTAGGGTTCAAGTTATCGGGAGTCAACTGTAAGTTTTAATGGTTGATTATTCTTAAATTACATTGTTTTTTTTTTGTCCTTCATTCTTTTTCAGGGATACAAATTATTTTTACCCTCGATGAAGTAGCCTTTATTCAAAATCTTGTGTTCTACATTGAAAAGGCCTATTGTATCCCAGTAAGTGTGCATGTTCACAGTAGTATTACTACACCCACCTGTATGTTTAACATTTATCATTTAAATTTTGTTAGTAATTTTCTAATCATGAAGTATCCAAGTGAAAAGACTGCATTTGATTAGCTAACATACTTTTCTATGTGTATTGGCTCATATCATATCTCTAGTGCAAGTAGATAAATAAAATATTATTAGTAGTGCCTGGTTTAATTAAGTCAAAATATACTCAATCAAAATCACTATAAAGTGATGGCCAGTATGACCATTTTCAACCTTAGAATACTAGTAGATTTTTATTAAAACCTAACGATTGATTTTTTCAGTTAATTATCTTTTGCCCATGAAGGCCTTCTAGAATAATATTTTCAGAAGGCTTTCTTGGAAATTTTTTTCATTTTAGATGGTTGAGGTACACTGTACAGCTTCAATCTTCCAATAGAAATCTTGAGTTTGACTTTCAATAGTTTAAAAATAAATTATTTCTAGGACCAGTTATTACAATTATTATGTACATGTGCATAATTACTCTAGACAGAAAAAAGATGATAAAAATGGTCATTTATACAAGTGAAATATTGGTGTTTTTTTATATACAATGTTTTTGTTTTTTTATGTGACCTACAATGTACATGTATAATTTACAATAAATTATTTCAGTTACAGCTGTATCCCTGTTATAGAACAAAACTGTAAACTTTTGTATCATCTCATCTGCAGGCAGTGAGTTGAAAGAAAACTCAAGCAAAATACCATCCTTGACAACTGTAGTAATGTACTTTTTTTTCATTTAACGCAGGATTATGGTATTTGGGAAAGAGGAGACAAACTCAACCATGGTATGCCTGAGCTGAATGCAAGTTCTATTGGAATGGCAAAGGTTAGCTTGTCTGTACCTTATTATTTTAGTGAGTTACATTACTTTTCACAGCTGTGTTTACTGCAAGTTTTAATACATATACTCTCCAATTCACTGAAAATTCTGTAAATGGAAAATTCTACAAATACATGTATTAGGAAAACCTTTTTATTATATAAACACAAGAGAAACCAGGTGCGCTTTTGCGCAAAAACATGGTATCTTTGCACGTGAAAATAACATGTTATCTTCACATGTGAAAAGATTGCCGTTGCTATGGCTACATAATAAATTGTGCCTTTCGCAGCAAAAAGCTATTAAAATGAAATGATTCTGTATTTCATCGGTGTTTATATAATAAATAGAACTTTACATGGCTACTCGGAGATACAAAATTTTCTCTTCTCATGTTGAAAAATATTTCACTTGTTCGCTGCACTCACTTGTATTCCGTATCTTCGTATTGATTGATTGATTGATTGATTGACTGATTGACTGATTGATCTCCACGCCACCATGTAAAATCCTCTACGTATTCGGAATTTAATTTTCTGTAACTACAGAGAACAATCACAGGAGCTCTTATTTAGCGTTTGTGTATTCTACATGTACACTGTAGATCAATTATTATGGTAAGTTTTACAACACCATCGTAATGATATCTGAAATGTTGGCTATAGAGAAGCAAGGAAACCAGGGCACGCTGAAAAAAAACTCTCATAGCAAGGAGAAGAACCACTGACAAACTCAGCCTATATGTACATGCTTAAATAATTATACTCACAGACATGGCTCACTGTAATTTGCAAAACGAAATTAAACAAAACAAAATGAAAATTTGTTCTTTGTGAAATCTGTATTTTGTGAAATGAAAATCTGTACTTTGCAGAATGAAAATCTGTATTTCATGAAATGATGAAGATTTTCATATTTTCACAAAATATAGATTTTCATTTCATTCCATTTTCTTTCGTTTTGTTTCACAAATTACAGTAAGCCACACACACCTGTGTCTCCTGTACTTGAACCTACAGCAGGTAGTCCACATTGGTAGAAAGCATGCACTTTCACTGCCATGCCACCCTTGCTACCCTTTTATTTTATTTTTTATTTCTCTTTAGGCAGCTTTAGAAGCATTAGATGGCTTGGATTTGTTTGGTCCAGAGGGGGGTCACTCATCTGTCATCCACATTCTTCCAGATGACATTCAACAGTGCAAGGTTGGAGGCTGAAGACAGCTCTCTGTTATCCTTATGTCATTTCCATGGCTTATACTCTCATTTAAGCAATAGAAAACGTTTTCTGTGTTTGCATAGCCTGATATAAACACGAGAGGGATTGGGAGAATTCGAGACAGTCGCCAGTCTTGTACACAAAGTCTTGCACATGTAATCAGTTCTTGTTTTACAAAAAGATGCTTTCCAAAATACGGATTTTTCTCACTTAAAATGTCAGCTTAAGCGAAAAAAGTTGACACAGCTTGTTTGAAAAGATTTTCCAGGTTTCAGCCGATGAAGGAATGAGTAAATAAAGTAAACTTGTCGAGTTTTGATCACTAAAACTTTTTCAAATTCGTGCTTGGGTGATTAGCGCACGAAAAGCAAAACATCTTATGTCACAACCATGTTTACATACTCTTATGCCAACACTCCTCTCAGCCAATCAGAGTGCACGTACTATCTTAGTTATGTTATAAATAGACAATAGCTCTTGACTAATCAGCAGATGAAAAATTATTCAGTTGTTGTGAAAAAAAAGGTTTTGACCACCTGGGTTTAGATTTGATGTTAGTCAGTGCACCATAACAATCACATGCTTTTCAAACAATATTATTATTATCATTATTATTATTATTATTATTAAATATTACTATTATTATTATTATTAATTAATTTATTTATTTATTTATTTATAATATTATTGTTGTAATTTTGTGGTTTTTGTTTCCAGGCTATTTTGCAATCAATGGTTCCAAGGGAGTCTAATTCCAAGGTACATGTATGATTGACCACTAATTGTAAAATAATAAGTGTCTGATACACCAGGTTCATTTGTGGAAAATATTATATAGGAATCACCGTTTTAGTCTCATGTCTATTTTAAAAACAGGGTCCACTTAATACAGGTCTCACAGTTTGAAAATGCCCTTCAAAGGTCATTATAGTTTCACAAGGTTTAAAAAGTGCTGAAAACTTGTTTCAAACCACTTGTCCATGCATAAATCAAATGAACACAAATCAAAGTCATCATTTGATAATTATTTGCACATTGTATACATAAATGAACACTTTACTCGTCAGATCAGCATAAAAATACATTATTTTATTTCTGTCCTGTAGGAAATTGCAGCCTCAGTGTTAAGTGTGATTAGCTTTCCTGCATTTGCTGTTGAAGATGAAGATCTTGTCAGTGAAGCCAGGGAAAAAATCATTGCTAAACTTCAGGTACACATGCACTGTACCTTTGCTGTTTGCTCAATAAATACAGATTTCGTGCACTGATTTGTACCAGTATATGAGTAATGAAACAATTCTGCCTACTTTTCCCATTTCTTGAAAGGGTCGATATGGTCTGGTTCGTTTTATTCGGGATGGTTACAAGACTCCTCTTGAGGTCAGTAATTTTTAAGCATTTTTTTATTATCGAACAGTAGCTATCAATGATTACAACTACAGTCTGTATTTCTTTTCTTGCCTTCACAAATTAATGTGCATTGCAGTGAAATTGAAGGGCTCTGATCTACATGTATGCAAAAATGTCCCTGTCCTACATCCTACAGGTGTAGTTTTAAGTCCTTGTTGTGGCCACTAGGGGTCGTCCTCAGTGGCGCGGTGTCTCAATGAGTTATGATGTAGTACCACCTCCTACCAGTGTGAATATTTAATTTGTATTGATAAAAAAAAAAAAACTGGAAAAAGTGTCAACTGGGTTTCAAATCCATGGGGAGAGGGGATTGATTTTATTGCTTTAATATCTATTGAAATTTATAAGACATGTGATCATTCACAACTATAATATACATGTATTCATAATGTACATGTTGTTTAAAGGACATGTAAAAGGCTGTCACAATGTTAGAATAATTAAGTTGAGACAAGTGCTGGTATTTTGTTGTGGTTCGATCAATATCTGCATCTTTGGTTCAAATTTAGTTTTCCTTTGTTTTGGTACATGGCTGTGTACATTAATTGTAAGATAAATAGACTAAAACAAAGGAAAGTAAAATATGAACCTAGGATAAAATCATATTGCAGCATAAACTAATACAACAGTCATACAAATGTACAGGTACACAAAGTCAGGGTTTTCAATAAGATTTTAAATAGGAGGTAAAAGCTTTGGAGCAGGTGGAGAAGGAAAAAACTTGCAGCAAAGGCATGACTTGAGAGTGCCGAAGGTGCAAGTTTCTGGAAAAATTTTGAAATCTGGGTCTCTTAGAATGCATTTCCAGCATTCTGGAGCAAAAATTAGAGTGTTTGAACAGAACACATACATCATTAAATTTTGGTTTTTTCACTCAGTGACAGCACATGAATACTGCATGTAAACTGGGGTGATTTCCAAAGAAAAGTAGCAGTGAAATATAGCCAGCGAATTTTGCCAGCCACTGGCTCTTATTGAAAGGCCTGCAAAGTACAACAATTTTTTTTCCCAACTGTAGTTAGAGCATTCTATCATAAAAAAATGTGGGACACATATTCTATGAACATGATCGTCACAGCTATTATCCCCACAGAAACACAAAAACTACACTGGTATTTATTTTATTATGTGGTTTGTATTACAGGACCCTTACAGACTTCATTATGAACCAGCTGAACTAGAGATATTTGAGAACATTGAGTGTGAATGGCCCTTGTTTTACTGCTATCTTCTTTTGGATGGCCTTTTTAATTGTGATGAGGATCAGGTAACAATATGATGATATACATGTTGTGTTTTTTCATGTGAAGTTAGTAGTATCTGTAGCGCAACAAAATTAAAGTAGTTGAGGCACTGCCTTAAAGGGCCTTTCTGATGTTTCATCCATCTTCAAAAGGGACAAATAAAGCTTTCTCTCCCCCATCCCCTCCATGTAATGTACCACTGTAGGAAACAACAAGCACCCCAAGTGCTGTTTAAGAAATGAGCAGGTGTGTATTATCAGTAATACACGACTAGAAGTTTTTTAACTGCTCCAAAATCTCTGATATAGACCAGGGCATCTACTGTAGTTCAACTCATTCTTGCACTAACATTTAGATTTGGGGTTATTTTGGTCTGAAAAGTTGGACATAAAGTTTTGCCATGTCTTTATCAGATATAAAGACTCTCATTAAACATTCAATTATTTTCTTTTTTCATGAATTAGTAATGAGTTTTTGAACCTTGAGTAAAGGGGAGAGGGGAGGGGAGAGGAGTGAGGATTGGTTTCCCCATTATTTTGAGGACAGTGCACCTGTTTACCAATTTATTGTCTCCTTAAGCCTTACATCTTATTCATGAGTGTAGGGCTACATGTATTGCTAAGAGACAAAGGAAATTGAGAAACACCCTCTGGCAGTTTAAAACTTTTAACCTTATTTTGTTTTGACCCATGACATTATCCATCAAGTCAGGGCCAAGATGTTTGACTGACAATCAGTGCAAACTGGGGGTTAGTTACGTAGACAGCATTTAGCCTCAAACTTGGCTTAATAGGCCCTTTGCAGCCAGCCATTTACGTGGTACAAAACCGCCATCCTGGAGGGTAAAAGTCACACTGGGATAAGAAAAACAAAAGGTATGCATAATTTTAAAAGGTAATGTATTTTGTTTGTCTTCTCCCAGTGCGACTTTTGCTCTCCAGCATGGCAGTTTGGTACCACATGAATGGCTAACTGCAAAGGGCCTACTGAGCCTCAAACATTTTGAAGAAGAACTTTGCTGGTTTACAGTCTAAAACAATTATCACGTCAAAAATAATTCTTATATTTACAATATGATATAAATGTCAGCGATAACATTAATTATTTTATAAATTCAATCTTTAAACAACTTTGTCTTAAATATTATTATTAAGTCTTAATTTAAGTTATTTGAAGAGTGTTCTGTTAGTGCATCTTTTGCCAAAGTAATAGCATCCGTCACTCGTTGTAACCATTTTTCCCTTCTGGTGCGAAACCAAAGCTGTTGACAAATGTAAACAATAGAACATCTGACATGAAACCAATTAAAGCTAGAGGGTAAATAGTCCTTCTGCTATTTTTTTGTACTTTAAAATTAATTTTTTGCTATGAAGAGTAAACTGAAAACATGAATTTTCTGTCTTTACCCCTGATCATCCAGTTCATTGTACAATTATTTTCTTTTTGTCAGTGAGGAAAATTTCAGTTGTGTATCAACCTTAATTTCTGGAGTGTTGTCAGGTTAATATAACTATTTTCAAAATATCAAGAGGTTGGTGATCATTCCCTATTATTTTGTTTGATCTTTCTAAGGATCAGTCGATGATACTGTGAGGAAAAACTAGATGCTTTCCGATCATGACCCCACAACCTTTTTAGCTTTAACTTTTGTCATGTCAAAATAAAGGTTTTATGTTATGTAATGTTATGATCACATTTAAGAGCTCTTGGGAGCACATTTTTAGTGTGGTCACCAAATATCACTAGGTATCATCAGTTATTAGAAAGTTTATGTGGAGAAAAAACATTCGATCACCTGTAAGTATACTGGCATAAATCTAAAGGAAGTGATATTGACAGAATGCCTGAGGTAAACTGATTAAAAATGTCAAAGTATTAAAGTAGAGGCCTTCAGCAAAACTTTAACATACAGGTGGACATATTTCCAAATAATTACGGCTTGTAATGTTATTAAAATGACTCATAAAGCAAATGGTTTGTCTCCCACAAAATGTAAAATATTGGTGACAAAGGAAAAATTAATTTATTCAAAAGCTTATTTAAAGTTAGAAGCTACATGTACAAGTGCATGTTTATTGTTATTGAGCAGTGTGGTTCTGCCACTCTTTGAATGAAATCCTTGTGACAGTGCATGACTGTTTTCAGAGATTACTTTTTATTATTTTTAGTGAGCACTCTTTTTGGTGTGCTCTTCCATGGAGTTATGTTTGAGGCAATAATCCCTATAAAAGTTTGAAGTACAGCTGTATGTCTTGTTCAAACCTTGTTGAACAGTAGTTTTACAATACTGTGGTACGATAAAGTGAGCTGTATCCGTGTTTTTTTTTTTTTTTTAATCTGCGTCTTGTTGAATAATGTAATGGCTTTCTGTGAGGGCTCTTGAATTTATTCCATGAGAAAAGCTGGCTAGACAGGGACAGTCAAAGGTTCATGTTAAAAACTCCAAAGGGGCATAGTTGAGTGTCTGTGCTTCTGAAGTATCCAAAGTATTATTAATAGTGCTATGATTCTATGAAAATTGGTGTGATTTGGACTATTAAGTGAGGAAAATGAGAGAGTTAAACAGATGCAGAACTTGACATACCTCCACATCTTCAACTAGCAAGTTACATTCCATAGCAATGATAATAAGCCCTTCTCTATCTGGCCACTTTTGATGTGTAAATCTGCTCTCAAGTTTATTGAGCTGCTCTACAGAGAAGTGCTCTGGTGCTAGTGAACTGACAGAACTTCTTTGAGATGTGTTACCTTCACTATTCCATGGTAATGTTTGAATCATTTTGTCATCTTGAGCTTTCATGGCATGCTTCTGTTGTTGAAGTCTCACTCTTCCTGTACAGTTTTATCCTTAGTTGCGATGATATCCTGAAAAGTTCTTTGTAATTCCCTCAGAAATGGCACATGAGGTTCTGTTCGTCTTGCGGTTGTTATGTATGGCATGTGAGTTTTCAAGATATTAGAGGGTTTTTAAACAGGAAATTATGAAATTTTGTGGCATTCTATGTGCTGTGACTAAACTTGACCAGAAGAATGCAGAAATGTTGTACAGTGAGTCAAGTAAACATGATCAGTGATGTAAAAGTTGTATATCAATTCTTTTGTTTCCTCCATCCATTTGCCTTCATCCAATTAAACATTTATTTAATTGACATTAAGTTTGCGACGTTAATATTGCTTTCATGTTGTCCAAATAATGGTGCTTTGAGGTTATGCTATCTCTATAAACAATCTTAGTGAAAATAGTTCTATAAATCTTTCATTCTAATGTTTTGGTGTGAGATATGTGACTAGAGAGTTTTTAATTCTCTAAATTTATACTGTACTGTGGTTTTGTTGGATTATGAAGGGAGGCCTTTTATGCAAAAATTGTTCTTACTCTTAGTTAATGAATGCAGTTTCTAATCCTTTTTGTGTTTTTAATTATGTAGCTCTTTGTTCAAACTTTTGTTCCTATTGTTTACAAAGAAAGCTTGTTTAATGTGCCTGAACAATGAAAAGATGTATTGGTGAATAAAACTGGCTGTGATTTTTAATCTGCAGCAGATGTGAAACATAACTTTCCTTTGTAGCTATTACTGTGTGTCAAATATATCTATATTTTGCTCTTAGAAGTTTCAATAACTCGTATGAACCTGATCATTATTAATTTTTGTAATTGATGCTTTTCTCTCTAAAAGATGTTGTTATTATTATTATTATTATTTTTTTTTACTTTTTTCTAGTTTAAAGTGAAAGTTAATCCATCGTAGTCAAAGTTGATTCTATGCAGGGGCAAGATATTTTTCAAATTCGTATATCCACATTTTTTAACTGAGATTAATTGTTGAGTAGAAACTTAATATTAGCCTTGGCATCTGGCTTTGTTTGAGGCAAAAAGTGTTAATTACGGTGATTAGACAAACCATTATGATATTGATTTTAACTTTTGTGAGTGATGTCATTTCCTTTGCTTTGTTTTTACAAAGCTGTTTTTAATAGAGAAACTTGAATAACTTTGACTATTAGATGAAATATGACACTCTTTACAGATATTGAAAGTTTGAGTCTCTAGAGGGTTTATACGTTTTGTGGTAACTTCATTTGTTCAAGTTTAATCAAATATGGCTCAATATAGATGATCAAACATATTGCCCAAGATCCCAGGATCAAGAGATTCTTCTACTCTCTACCCAGCATTCCGAGATATTAATTAATTGTGTAGTTTCGTGTTGTACTGTCTGTAGTTAAAAGTGGAGTTTAGCAGGCTTCGCTAGTATTTTAAAGTTGCGGATCTTATAGATTTATTTGGCAAAAATAGAAATAAATCCTTGAACTTCGATTTTGTTCTCTACAGACGTCTGTCGACTTCAACAGAGAAAAAACTTCCATTTTGTTCTTTGTCGACTTCAACAGAGATAAAACTAACCATTAGCCAATTTAAAAGTCAAAGTATTAACCATAAACCATAAATATCACCACTACATTATTGGTTATGACCCGATAGGTTCTAAGAAAGAGACATAGAAAATACCCTGTCCGGGGGGTTTTCGCGAAATTGCCTTTTTTTTCTTCTGAGAGAGTATCTAGTATAGAAGGCTTAAATGTCTCAAATATACGCGAAGGTGGGTGAAACAAGGCAGCCAAGTGACTTTCCATCTAATATCAAATTCCTTCTTTGTTTTCCACTAATAAGGCAATGATAGCTTAACCCTTTAGCGCCCCAATACAGTAAAACCTCGATAAAACGAACCTCTATGTAACGATATCAGTAATAGCTAAATATATCACAAAGAACCTCGACGTGACGAAACCTCGTTATAGTGAACATATTTTGCCAGTCTCTTGGCCCACTGTTATATCTAGGTTCCACTGTATCCACACACACAAAGTCGCCAGGCCCTGGTTGGTCAAACGTCAGATAGTGCTATCCACCAGATAAATCACTGTCCAGCGGATAAGTGTTAAGGAAACTAGTGGCACTATCAGTGGATAACGTTATCCGCCCCAACAGCTGGTCCAAGACTGACCTCCTTACGTTTCCTTAAAAAAAATTTAGTTGAGAGAATGTTTTTCCATTATACATTTTCCCATAGGTGGGCATATTATTAATTCTTATCCTTTGGACGTAGACGCAAATTCACACCCCCACCGTGGTACAAGGAGCGGGGGGGGGGGGTTGATGCAACCTCTCCCTAGATTTTTTGATATGTTGCATTATTTCGAAATGATTTTGCCTTCAGTAGAAAGCCTTTAAACTTCTTTTATGGATGGTGGCGCTGCTGAAGGCCTGTGGCGTCACCAACCAACCCTCCAAGTTGCGACCTGGCGTCTAAAATTTTGAAGCTGGCGACTTGATTTGTAAAAAAGTCTCCCTAAACCAAAAGAATTGGTCACCCAGTGGCGACCAAGCAAAAACTTTAACTTGGAGGGTTGCCAACAATGGTTACTATGTTGGCCCCCATCACTAAACTTGTCTCAAAATGCGTACGAGGGATAAACGAACAGCTACCGAAAACGTTAGGTGCTGATGTTTTATCGTCTATGAGAATACTCAGAAAAACCCACAGGGAGGTGGCACCCCTCCCCCGCCTCGTACGTCCGAGGGTTAAAACCTTTATCCTTGATTGTGTATCGATTTTGTTGGGAGAAAATTGTTGGTGGTCACTTGTGGGACTCAAAGGGGCTATGTTACGAGGATATTGCTGTTTGGGGGTCAATTCTGTGCTTGCACCCTCTCCTCCCTCCCTTTTTTTAATTTGGTTGCCAGGGTAAATATTTCCATTTATTTTCAGTGTGACGGTGCCGGCTAGTTGCCGGCGGGTTGCCATGGATACCTCCTTGCGGCTATGGCATCTGGCATCCCGCTAACCTTTAAGGCACCAGTTCCCAAGCTCATCTTTTTGTGATGAGTTTAAATAGTAACCTAACATGTACCCATACACAAAATGCTCCTGTAGATATCAATCAAACTTTATCAGGGAGCACTTTCCATGATATTTTTTCCTAATAATTTTTGCAGGCTTACTAGGCTCTTTAAATGATCAATCAAAGATTGCTTTGCTTATATTTCTTACAACAGGTGAAAACTTACACAAAGTTACTGGATCCTCTGCTAGTGAGAGACGATGCTGGCCTTCCATTAGTTCCCGAATTCTTTTATGTTCCAAGAAACAAGGTTTTTTTAAATTTACTGCTATTTATTTACCAATTTACCAATGATTTAATTTATCGAATTGTGTCATTTTTATTTAGTTTTAATGGGTCAATATTTTCAAAAAATATTGAAATCTATTCTGATTTGGTTATGTTTCCAATAAAGAAAATTGCGTGAAAAATACACTGGTGATTCTCTTTCAACCAATCACCAGCTCGTTCCGTTCCTCAAACGTCATTTCGCGAGGAAAATTTTGGCGTCGCAAAATAGGGAGCTCAGCAACAACAACGGTTACGAAAACGTCACTTGCTTCAAGCTTTATCGCGCCCATTCCATCTCGTTCAATTCGTTAAATGTTGGAAAATTTTTCTGGAATAGAATTCTGAGATTGTATCAAAGTTTAGGGGGGAGAAAGAAACAAGAAGGTCGTTGTCTTGTTTTCACGTCCTCCACAAAGCGAGCAATTGAGCACTTTCACGTTTTTAGTCGTGCAGCGACGGTAAAGAAATGTAAATAAAAGCATGATGCACGTTCTCGTTGCGTCGTCGTCGTTTATTAGGCTCCCTAATGTCGGTGGTTTTCTCATGCTCGCTGTTTTACAGTATGTTACAAGAGAAATGTTGAAATCTTCCTGTTATCCTTTATGTTCGATGTGTTTCTTAGCGTCCATCTTGGTTTTTCAGGTTGATATTGAGAAAGCCAATCCCCACAGTGTGGAGAGAGAATGCGGCGAATACGTGCTGCACTTGTGGTCTCACTCGTTGTATGTCCTGGCTTGCTTGCTAAATGAGGTACAAAGATTGGTCTGTAAACTACCAAAAAACACGAAATCCTTTTCTACACAATTAACACTTATTATTCATTTAAAATATTGCTCCATTACCCTGGCTAATTCTTCATAACCAGCTAGCGCTCACCACATTTGGAATATGCGTGTCCACAGTCGGGCATACTTGTTAGCAGACAGCTCTGTTAACGGCTGCTTTCACAAAACCCCGTGGAAACTCCCATTCAAACTCCGTATTTTTACATTCCCGTAAGCGGCTGCGGGCACTTTCAGGATTTACAAGTTAGGTTCAGCTTGGTTTTGATGCCCCCGTGCGCGGACACCCGAAATGAAATCACGTTTGCCTCTGAATATCGTGTTTTAATAGATCATTTAAATCTCTTTCAGTGTTTGTTTGTCTTTGTTTTGTTTTATTTTGTTTTTTCACATACACATCTGGTTACTTCAAAGCACCACTTGAGTTTTTTGCTTGTGACTGAAATACAATATCGTCAGATCAACAGTACAGCCAAACACTAACAAGCAGTTTTCCCCATTCTTGAGTATTTATTTCTAGCTGGGCAAGCTCTAGTCTCATACGCACCCGTTCTTTGTGTTGTCACGCTCCTCCGTCCTCCTCCCCTCTCCTTCTGCTTGTAGCGAGGAGCGTTGCGTGACGACACAAAGAACGGCTGCATAGGAGACTGGGCAAGATCTTATAAGCAGCCAGCTTGGATAGTTACGGACACCTTTTCCGCGTCCCGAGGATGTCCGCCTTCCAGAGCTTTCACAGTACAAACAAAAGGCAAGTACTGTTGGAAATCCTCTCCCCTACCACCCCCCCCCCCCCCCGATGGGTCTTACAACCTTTTCAATTGTTTGTTAATGGGCTTTTACTGTTGCTGAGTATCCCTAAGCAGTTAACTATAGGTGGATTCACTTGCAACATACGCGTATAGCTGTCGCATTTGACTGCTGGAGTTTTTAATTGTTTTGGAGCTTATAACAATAAAAAAAAAATACCCACGGGCAAATGCGACAGCTATACGCGTATGTTGCAGCTGAATCCAGCCTATGTATTGAAAAGATGTTGCAGCTGAATCCAGCCTATGTATTGAAAAGAGAATGTTTAGCGCAACAACATATTGCCGTACGGACCAGTACTGTCCTTCCTTTTATAACCAGCTGATGGTTACAGTACTTGCAGGGAACACTGACTTCTGGTTTGTCTCTAAACAGAATTTTATTGCTCTCGGAGAGATTGATCCTCTGAATCGTAGACATTCCACTGACAAAAGACCAGATGTAGTGGTGCAAGGTATGTTTTTGTACTTCAATTCCGTGCTAGTCTCCCACGCAGCCGTGTGTTTTTTCCGTTGTATGTTTGGGCCCGTTGCTAATTTGGAGAAAAGTTGTTTTTGGGATAGAAGAGTTGAACTACCCTGGTTGAGCCAACGTTTCATACATTTCTTGGCGAACCGTTAACAGGAGAAACAAAAAGTTGGCTCGGTTAGAAGGGTGACCCGCTTAGCCTGGTCACCCCTTGTGATGGCAGGGTCACCCTCCTAGCCAATTTTTTTTCCATGTAAACACTGTACACTTTGGCTCGCCCAACCGGGTCAGCCGCAAGGCGAAACAATAGGAACTTTAAGATCCAACAACGCGGACAACAACGAGAACGTTAAAAAGACAATAGGTTTAATAGGCAAAACAACAACTTCGCACGTGCAACACACTTTTTTGTACATTTCTTTCCTGTTTTTACACGACTACGACGTGAAAATGCCTAATTTCGCGTTTTAGGGAGGACCTAAACAAGCAACGACGAAATTTTATTTCTCTTTCTGAGCTTGGCTACAGTCCCTTGAAATTCAGCTTCAGGAGGGTTCGTCTACAATTGACAAAGTAAGTGGGTGGGAATAATCGCTATAAAGACTGAAAGAACGCAAATTCACTTTTGAAGCGACGTTCTTGTCGCCGTCGCGTCGTTGGATCTTAAAAGGGACTTTAAGACCCAACGACGCGACGGCGACAAGAACGTCGCTGAAAAAGTGAATTTGCGTTATTTCAGTCTTTATAGCGATTATTCCTACCCACTTACTTTGTCAATTGTAGGCGAACCCTCCTGAAGCTGAATTTCAAGGGACCAAATTCAAGCTCAGAAAGAGAAATAAAAGTTTCGTCGTTGGTTGTTTACGTCCTCCATAAAACGCGAAATTAGGCATTTTAACGTCGTAGTCGTGCAAAAACGGGAAAGAAATGTACAAAAAAGTGTGATGCACGTGCGAAGTTGTTGTTTTGCTAATTAAACCAATTGTTTTTTTGACGTTCTCGTTGTCGTCCGCGTCGTTGGATCTTAAAGTCCTAAAAGTCCCTAATCAGAGCATACGCGAGCGCTGATTTAGACAATCAGAGTATAGATCCCTCCACAGTTGTAACGGCATGATGGGTAATCAGGACAAGATGGTGGGAAAATCAACAGTTTGTATGGGAATACAAAGTCAACTACTTCTTGCTAATTGAATATATTTGTCACTTTCCCTTTAAAAAATGTAACTAATGAACTTAAAGAAAGTACACACTAAATCTGGGGGCATAGCAGTCCTTTGTTGCTTTTCAGAAAACCTGAGCTCTTCCATACATTTTCTGAAAGTCCGACAACACGCAAATTACACAAAGCATGGAAGAAGTCAAATTTTCTAAAAAGCTACAAAGGACTGCTTTGCTATCCGCATTTAGTGCATAGTTTCTTTAAGTTCGTTAGTTAAAGTTTGCAAAGAGAAAGTGACTAGTATGTTCAACTAAGAAGAATTAGTTGACTTTGAATTCCCATGCAAACTTTTGACTTTCCCCCCATCTTGTCCTGATTACCCAGCGTGCCGTCACAACCATGAAGGGGTCCACGCGCTAGCGCTTTTGGCTCGGGCAAAGGATTCAACTTATTTACTTGACTAGGGCGACTCTTCTACCAGGGACAGGGTTTCTCCATATAGACGCGGCCTTAGACGATTAGAAATCCTGGATACAACTGGAAAAGACGTTCATGCTACTGGGGAACAAGAACTACCTCCGGAACAACTGAAGCAAAAGAAAAAAAGCGACCCTTGTTTGGAATTAGCACTTGTTTATACCTGTATCTTTTCACTGATTTATATATCTATTTATAATCCTTCCAGTATCCCTTCTTGCTGAGGATGAGTTAGTGAGATCTCACCTTCAGACGCTTGATGTTCCAGTTCAGGTCACGCGGGATGTTAATCCCATCCAAGTACTTCCAGCGCGCACTCTTAGCTCCATGTACCAGCAGCTTGGTAAGAGCACGATGTTGCCTTTGTTTTTGCATTGCCACACTTTGTGATTGGCTAAAAAGCTCGCGCACATCTTTCTCAACCAATCAGGGTTAATTAAAATCTAAACAGATTTTAACTGACTTTCGCTCATTTACCCGCGCTTTTTGACGGCTACAGGTAATTTTTTCGAAAGCAGTGATTGGTTCATTTGAATTTCTGCGCGTTTTGTGATTGGTGATAGCTCATTTCCCGTCATCGCTTCTTATCAATAACTAGTTTTGCCCCGATCCCAGGCTGGTTCAGTATGTGCCAGTTTTAGTTCAATTTTTGTGGCAGTGTCGCGAGAAATTACAATTTTTATCATGCGTACGTTTTATTTCTCGTAGACGTAGACCTATGAAGAATTGCCACACTCTAACAATGTTAAATTACCTTCCTTCTTTAGGAAAGAATGCCAAGCTTAAGCTTACCGGAAGGTAATATTGCTTCGAAACTTTTTTCTGTTAAATTGTGTTGAACTTATGTGATGTTGGCTATTGAGTAGAAAACTAAGAACATAAAACCATGGAAACCTTGGTCTGCAATTTGACGACTGGATTTCTGTTCGTTTCTGATTTAAATATACAATCTATTGTTTCGGGCATAAGTACAAGATTGCGGTGCATATTTCAAATTAGCAACGTCAGGGTTTTGGTTAGCCTGCGAAAACATCCGTTTCTTCTCGCTCTTCGCCGCTGGCGACGTGTCGCGCGAAACGTACCCAGTGGCGAAGAGCGAGGAGAAACGGATGTTTTCGCAGGCTAGGTTTTGGTGTTTATTTAATCGGTTAGGAAGCTTAAGCGACGAGAAAGGTGACGAGAAGAAGAACATAACTAGAAATACGCTTATCGCAGCACCTCGAGAAGCTGTAATGAAGCTCGAGCCTCGCTTCGCGAGGAAAAATACGCAATACAACAACCTTGCAAGAGCAACACACTTATGGGTAGTGTTGTGTGTCGTTACTGCATGACCGCGGCGTTAAACTTCCTAACTTCACGTTTTATGGAGGACGTAAACACAAAACGGCGATTTTATTTTTCTTTCTTCGAACTTAAACTGCAATCATTAAGAATTTTTACTCCCGGAAAGTTACGCCAACATTTGACAAACGTAGTAGGCGGAAATTTTTAAGTAACGTTTTCGCCGTCGTCGGACGTCCTGGTTTGCTTAAGTTCCCTCGTTTTGTACATCACGAGTATAACCTAATCAGCTTCCCAAGGATATGAACCCACGATATTTAGAAACTTGTCGGAGCGGCCTATCCAAGGGAGCGACGGAATGGATCGCTGCTTAGTTAATTTGTCAAGTCAAACTGTACCATGGCATCGCAAAGCTCATTTTTGGGTGTGTATCATGTGACGCGCGCTTCCTTGTCGCTGCTGTAGCAACTTACGCAGTACCTTGTAGAGAAAAAAAGCTTAAAAAAAAAGAAGTTTACACTAACCTCTTATGGCTTATATTCTTTTTAGGCCTAACTATAACATAGGAGTACTGGGTACAAGTATGCTTTACAATGTGGGAAACTCCATTCTGGCGTTTACACCTCAGGTTTGTTCAGTTATCATTTCCATGTCTAGCCTGTAATGGCAGGCGCTGGTTGGTTTTATTTTTTAATTTTGGTTGTAGTAGTTTTTATAAACAGGGTTCGCACAGATCATGGAAAACCTGGAAAGCAATGGAATTTAAGAATTTCATTTTCCAGGCCTGTAAAGTTATGGAATTTAATTGTCGGTCCTTGAAAGTCATGGAAAATTAAAGTTTTGTTTGACAAATTAGTTACTCAGATGATAAGGCAAGGACAGTGTAAGATAGAGAGGAGTAATCAAACTAAACAGCTAGCTCAAACGGCACGCAGTTTGTTGGACACCAGAGTTTGTGTCTGTTAAATTGTTTACGGTAAAAAAAAAATACCCCAAAACAAGGAAAGTTTTTAAAATTTTTGAAACTGACAGCTAAACCTAAGGTCTTGGAAAACTTAAAAAGGTCATGGATAAAGTCATGGAATTTGAAGAGCTTAAAAGAGTACGAACCCTGTATGAAAAGCGCGCGAGGGGAACGAGTCAAGGGGAGAAGAGGCTCCTCTAATTGTCCTCCCTATGTGCCCGCCCGCGCGTCCTCGAAATTTCTCCCTTCGCCCTCAAGGAGGAACGCCCTCGAGGAAGAATTAGCTCCGTGAAAGCTCATAGAAAGTCGTAACGTGTTTGTGAAATTTAGAATTGTTTTGTTAATTTTTCACTTTGGCTGCCATTGAAAGAGAGGGTTTATTGGCTGACTCTGAAACCATTTGATACCTTGTTGCAGATTTTGGATTATCATCAGTTTTACCTGGCACTTGATAACGAGTTCCTTGCTGACAGGATTAAGTCTCTGGTTGGCTTTCTAGGAGCTAACTGGAGAATACTTGGAAGACCTATCCTTACGATGATAATCACAAATTCCATGTTAGGTAGGTTGATGTTACTAAGGGTATTTTCTTATGTAAACGCCGCGGTATGGGTTGTTGCCTTTGAATTGCTCAGTCCTCAAATCAAGTATCATTTTTGGTATAATTGTGATCATCATTCAATCACAATTTTTTTTCCGTTTTTGATTGCTGCAAGTCCCACAGCTTGTTCTTCATAACTAGCGTTGACCAACTTTGGAAGACGTTTGCGATATGCAAAGTCAGTATAGTACAGAAGTTTGAAGTCAGTATAGTGCAGGGTAATAGGACAATTGCACGATGACGTCATTTTACTACAACTACCAAAATCCTTAAGTTTGTTGTTTTCTTGTGCAAATTAGGACTATTAATCTTTAATCCTCAGCGGGATTGACAGATTTCAGTAACAAAGCAAAAACGAAATGAATTCTGGTAGTTGTAGTCAAATGTCGTCATCGTGAAAAGGGACGGCAACCAAGCAGCCCTACGAGTTTGTGTTGTTTTGGTAGAAAAATAAAAAACAGCGGAACAGTTGACGTGTTTCGCAGAAAAATAGCTGAACTGCTGCCTGAAAACATAGCAAAAACAGCAAGAATACAACTCGGCGGATGACATCTGCCATTTGAGCAATATCTGCTAGAGTTAGCATCCCTTTATATCCTGAACTTGGAGAGAAACAGCAAATCAAGTCGCGAACTTTACAGCACCTTTTAGTTTGTTTGTAAACTAGGAATGTCTTTGAATGATTCGGCGTTTGTATGACCGGAAGTACTTCTTCACTAGCCCATTCCAGGCGTTCAGATTATGGGAAGGATGCAAAAAGATGTGAGCAGGAAAAACAGCGAGGGGGAGGGGGGGTGGTGGGGAAGGGGGAGAGAGCGGAAGAACGTTCTCTCTTCTTCTCCCTCCTTTCCCCTGGTTTTAAGTTTTCCCTCTTTCTGACTTCAGGTTGCACAGGCTACAGGCTACAGGCTACAGGCTGCCTGTCCACTTTATCTGCTCTCTTTGCTTATTTTAATCATGATGAAGCATTTGCTGTAATTAGTAATTTTACTTTACCTTTCATAGAGGACTCACTATACTCATCTATTTCAAAAATGATTCAAATGCTACGAAGTGGCTACATATCTGGAGTGAGGTGAGATTAATCTATTTAGCAGGCGACAATTTTTTTTTCAGTGTTGTTCAAGACAGTTAAACTTGAACTTCAACTTTATTAGAGCAATAATTTATTAGTTAATACACCACACAAAGAGACTGGTCCGCAGATAACTTTTATTTTTTTGCTAATCTTGGCAGAACAATTACACTAAAAACATTACAATGAAAAGAATAAGCCACTTCCGAGTTCCAAAAACCCTCACTTTCAAAATGAGGCTAGGTGCACAGCCTTTCGTGTGAAAATCAGTTTTATTTGCATGAGAATGTAAAGTGATTTCCATATCAAAGACTGAGCACCTACCCTCGTTTTGAAATAGAGGCCCGAGGAACTTTGAAATGGACTATTAATATTTTAGTAAATTTACAATAATTTAACATGATTACAAGTTTTTCGTCATTAGTTACATTGAATAAGTTAGAAAAAATTAGAAATTTGGGAATTACCTTCATCTTGATCTTTCTTCAATTGCTTTGTGTCTCTCATCATTAGGAAAAAAAACAATTACAGTGGATAAACTTGTTAACTTACACTGGGAGTTAACAAATGGGAAACCCACACTTCCGTTTGACTTGCGTCGCTCAAAACATCTTTACTTAAGCTCCCTAACATAAAAAAGATAGGAATGCTATTAAACTTTATGCACCGTCAGGTCCACAAAAACGTAAAGCAAAGGAGTCTGTGGGGCCTCATAACCATTCCACTCCATCAACTACCGTAAAATGCCGAAAATAAGCCCCGGGGCTTATATTTTTCAAAGGCCTTTTTGAGGGGCTTATTTTTGGAGGGGCTTATCTATGAAGGGAAATTTGCGTTTCGAAATCGATTGGGGTAGCCTTATAGTTGGAAGGAAATTTACCGTCTTTGCTTTGTTTTACTTTGTATTTGAGGGCAATTTTCCACGTACAAGCCCCCGAGGGGCTTATATTTGGAGGGGCGATTTAACGGAGGGATTTTTGCGTTACAAGTTTGGGGGGCTTATATTTGGAGGGGCTTATACATAAAGGGGCTTATTTTCGGAATTTTACGGTATGTCTTAAGTCATTCCTCAGTTGATTTTGGCAGATCTAACTGCTCGTCGACCACGACCAGTTGAGAAAGATATATCAACACAATAAGCCTTTTCCGACTTGCGCCAAGTTTCTTTTTCGAAGCGAGGCTAGGTGCGAAGCTTTTGATACCATAATGATTTTTCATTCTCATGCAACTAAAACTCATTTTCACAAGAAAGATTCTGCACTTTTTCTTGTTGTCAGAGCGAGAGTTTTTGGAACTCGGAAAAGGCTTATATGCTAGATTCTTTTTCTGTTTTCAGAGTTCGGCTGGGTTACCTTTCTAGCTTCTTAAGCACGTCTTGCATCACCAGTCTGCATTTTATTCCAGACAGCGACGAAGGCAAGTGATACTTTTCAGTCATAGATTTTAGGCTCGATTTCCGCCGTCTCCCGATTCCTGTCTTTCATCACGGGAGGTGTAGCGGGGGGTCTCTCTTATTTGGCATATACGGATTTGTCCCGCTGAAGAGGGTATGGTTTTCAATGTCTTGAGTCTTAAACAGGGTATACAATTTCACTATTAAGCGTCTTGAACAGGGTGTCTTTTTGGACTGAAAGGCGGCCTTTCAAAGAGAGCGTAGACTTGCGATGAGCAGTCAACATCTGCAATACCAATATTTTTCCCCTGAATTGCAAGCTCATTTTCCTAAACAGTAACTGGTACGAGACCCTTCCACGGTTTTTTTCAACTTTTGATGAAGAGCAGTAAGAGAATATGCTCTCACACTACTAGAAAGAGGGCCTTAAAATAAAGCATCTTACCAAGTTTAAAGGTGATACGTTCAAAGGTAGCGTAGGTATTGCTCTACAGAACGGTGAAATCTTACAGACGTTCATACGGTGGAGGACAAGAACTTGCCCCCCACCATACGACATTCCGCAACTTTGCAGAGCTATATTTTCTTTAGTTTTCAACAAATCTCTCTCATCCTTTACTGACTTTAATTAGGCGTTCTTTCCAGCCGCGTTGACTGATTTTCGCTAACTGGTTCCACTCAAAAGTTGAAAAAATCGTGCAAGGGACTATCGAGCCTAGCATAATTCTTCACAAGGTTAAATTGTGTTGTCTAGACTAAGTGTTACCGCTGTCTACTATATTTTGATTTGTCATATACTTATATATTTATTTAAGAATCAAATTAAATTTCCTTATACACTTAAGAGTAAGAATTAGCGAAAAAAGTTTAACATAACCTTTCGATATCGCCATGACAGCATTATCAAGTGACAAGATAAAAAAAACTAAAATCCGACTTAATTTTTACAAGTTGGATAGATAACATTAAGCAAAAAACAAAAGTAAGATGTTTGCACATGTAAATGAAAATATTTGAAACAAAATAATAGTTTTGCTCGGATGGAAACTGATTGTGTGTTTAAGCTTGGTTTCCTCTTAATAAATGCATTTCTTAAATGAGACAGTCTAAATTCCCTTTGCACTTCATGAGTACAGGGAAGTTGCTGGTTATTGAGGTCGGCTATTTATTTGTTGATATGTTTATTTATTTGTTTGTTTGTGTAAGAATCCATTACAGCATCCAGTACGGCTGGTTCTAGTGGAGGTGTGTAATTTTACATGAATACTGATGTGTTTCCTGTTACGTCGGCATGTTTATCTTTCGTCTAGAGCTAAGAAGACACAGAAGATATCCAGAGCCCAGTGACGTGTTACGGACCGACTCAGTTGGAAGAGTAAGTTCATCTTATTTAGGCCCTATTTACATGGGGGTGGGGGACCCCAGGTATTTTGGGTAACCCACCTGTCCATGTAATGTTGCCAGGGACAGACCGGGTAACCCTTTCAACCGGGGTCGAATTTTGCCATGTGGACGTTTCAAAGTGGTTGGATTCATGTTGCATTAAAATCGCGCCAAATGCCTTTGGCGGAGGCTTTACATTATTAAAAGTGAAAGCCAAAGCACTGAAAGGTTACAGCAAGAGCAGCAACTGAGGGCAGAAGAGCGTTGAACCCCAAAGCACGTCGTTTGCCCGCCATTTTTGTGTTTACGTGCTTAACGACCGTTCAATTATCAAGAGAAAGTGTACCCCGGGATAACGGGGTTGTAAGGTTGCATGTAAACGCGGTCATCTTTTTCCCCACCTGAACAGGTTACCTCACCAACCTGGGGTCCCCCACCTCCATGTAAACAGGTCCTTACACTTTTAAATTCATTGCGCTGTTAACTAGCTGAAACTTAAAGGGAGTTGTCGCCGTGGTTTCGAACGTGCTTAATTTTTGTTGTGATTTATTGGAGATCGTAACTCACATTTTCATACCTTGTTTGGGTAAATAGCAAAATGAGATGCGTCCTATACAGTAAGCTAGCCCTGCGCTGCGTTTGGAACGTTAAAAAAATGGCCAAGAAAATACCAAGAAAATTGCCCCAAATGCACAATAAATCGCACAAAAATCGTTTTCGCAGAACAGTTCCCAACACAAGTATTAAAAAATTATTCCACGTGTGCGCGTCGGATATGAGATGGCAGAAAGCCAAGCCGTTATAAAATAACTAAGATAGTACGCGCGCTCTGATTGGCCGAGAGGAGTGTTTGCATGAGAGTATGTAAACATGGTTGTGGCGTCAAGCTGTTTGGCTTTTCGCGCGCTAATCACGCAAGCACGAATTTGAAAGAGTTTTCGAGTTCAAAACTCGACAAGTTTACTTTATTTACCCATTCCTTCGTCGGCTGAAACATGGAAAATCGTTACAAAGAAGCTTAGTCAATTTTTCTTCACTTAAACTGACATTTTAAGCGAGAAAAATCCGTATTTTGCAAAGCATCTTTGTGCAAAACAAGAACTGATTACGCGTGCAAGACTTCGTGGACAAGATTTTGCTACTGGTAAGAATTTCTCTATTAATCAGTGCCATACAAAGAGTTTTGCGTTTTTTCCTCGGGAAAGTTATTTTACAAAAGCAATAGAAAATGTTTTTCCTTTGTTTTCATATCCTGATATAAACACTCGAGGCGTTGGGAGAATTCTCGACTCCGTCGTCTTCGGAAAACGTTTTCTGTTGCTTAACTCATATCCAACAAGCGCCAGTGGAATAATTGTTTTAGTAGAAACTCCCACAAAATATCAAGAATTCTTACCGACTTTATTTTGTAAAACAACCGATTTTCAGCTTGTTTTTAATTTTGAGCAGACGCGTTAAGTTACCATATTTGGAGAGCATGGTATAATTGCTCATATACCATGATGGCTAAGCCAATCAGAGCTCTAAAATTGCATTATCCAATGATTCAGTTTATAATAATAAGATATGACGCGTTGTTGCAGAATCGAACTGGAAGTAACCCTGGTCACAAGCCGTTGAATAGAAAGCACAGTTACAAAGGATTGGTGCGCAGAAGTCGAAGCATATCATTATACTGTGACTCGCCAAACGCCTATTTACGTATGTTCTCCTAACAAAGATAATGATAAATTGTAATATCGTTTGTCTGACGGTGTAGTAACTTGGAGTAAAATCGTGTTTGCTGGTCTTGATATATGGAATAATGCCTTCGCAGCTCGACCTTTTTCAAAATAATGACCGAGCGCGTAGCGTTAAACAGCCGTTATGTCAGGCTTTATATGTCCCAATTGACTACGCAGTAGGACAAACGATTGAATATTTTTATTAATATCTAGAAAGAGGTCGTGGCTTTTTACAACAAAAGCGAGTTTTAGAACAACATTTTGATTGAATAGTCTAGTTTAGTGTTCAGTGTATCTACATAATAATGATGATGATGATGATGATGATTATAGTGACGATGATTATCATGATGATACTTAATAATGATGGTCGTTTATTGCAGCGTTAACTCGTAGTCGCTCTTGATCTGAAAATCTAAGAATTATTAGCTACTAATGACATTGATTTGCCGTTAAACAAACGTACACGTTTCTGTAGAGTAGAGAAGAAATATATGACATATATGATAACTACAACTAATAATTATAATAACAATGATAATAATTTATGATAACTGAACAGGTGCCTTGATATTCAGACTAAGAATTGATAATAAATGCTAATGCTAATAGTAATATTAATAATAATGATAACAACGATAGTGTGCATTTACAAAGCTGAATTAAGTTCTCTGAATCACAAAAGTGACGATTTTAAGAAGCGCAAACTTCATCTTAAGAGTGAATAAGTGCGTGCAAAGACGCGATGAATCTAATAAAGCTTGGTTAGTGACTCATAACTATGAAACTAATTGTTCGTCAATGTATAGGAAGGTATTGTTGTGGATGGCAAATATTTTATGTATCATGTGTGCTGACCTGACATACGATTGTCAGTTGTGTTCAAGCTTTTTGATTTGAAATTACACTTATCTCTTACACCGATGATAATAATGTCTTCAAGACGACCACTACAAGAGTAACACTTGCCGTAATGGTCCTCGCATACGTACGGTTTTAGAAGACTGGTCACAGTCCTCTATTTTTCCCTAAGATCGTTGCATATCGTTTCAGGTGGCCATCTTGGTTTCGAATGCAGCGAGGGGGCGGGCCCCGTTCGCCTCCTACTATACCGTCCCCCGCCCCCTAACTAGATTTGATACTCATTCCCAGAGTAGACTTGGCACATTTGAAACCAAGATTACCGCCCATAAGGGTAGGTGCGCTATCCCTAGGATCTTAGAGAAAACAGGGGGATGTCAGTAGTCTAGGTTTTACTTACTAACCAGTTTATATGATGAAACTTGAATCAATCATACTTAAGAAACCAGGCCTGTTAACAGGCTCCCGGACCAACGTTGTGTGGAGAGAAGGAGAGGAACGCTGTACAACAGACTCTTCCCTTCCCTCCCCTCCCTCCTCGCATTCCACCTGTCTCCCTTGCAACCCCTCCCCATTCGCTTTCACTTTCTTGCTCTTTCTTTGCTTTATATCGCGCTAGACTGAGCCTGTTCACAGTCCTCGGGTTTTTCTCCTTCTTTCTATAGCGGCTAAAACCCGCTTTAAACCATAAATGGTATATCACTATGCTACCAGCACAACTATAGAGTAGCTTACTTCTGCTGCAATGTTAGTTTTGCATGTGCTAGATAGTTACAGAGGAAATCAGTCATGTGGTGCGCTGTGTTTGTGGAAACAGTGGTGTATTCGTTCAATCACTCCTGCATTTATTCATTCGTTCATTCGTTTGTCAAATCATTGTCATCCTTGGCCCTCCTGGCCTGCAACCGTTTCCATCAACCACGTGTCAACACCATTTCGGAGAATCTCTCGATTATTCAAGTTAGAAAACGAGCTAGAAAATAATTGCTGTCAAAGTCGTTTAAACTGATTTGCATTTGCAGCGACTCGCAGGCTGTTAAGCTCTACATCGCCCAGCTCAGACGAAAGCAGTCCTCCAACTTTCTTTGGTGTTTCAGGTACATCAAGGTTCACGTTTCATTTTGCTTTCTATCTCAATCTGCAAGCTGTCTGTTTGGCAAGCGATGACAACAAGCAGAGGAAAAAAAGATGACTTAACAGGGGTAGCACAATTGCTAGTAACACTAGTTTTCACTGTGGGCCACAAAAAAGGACAGAAACAAGTAATCGAAATGACCTCATCAAGGTTAAGAATCTCAAATGACCGGAGGCAAACCAGTTGGCTGCCTTTAACTACCGCTTATAAACACCCCGGCTAAAAAGCCCATCCAGGTATACGCCCATCTACCTGTAACTTGAACAAAAAAATACATTTACGATTACTGATAACCCCCCTCTCCCTCCCCCCCTCCCGATGTAACCCCATCCTTATAACGTATTGAAATGAATTCGATTTATTATAACGTTTTGAAGCAAACACCAGTAAATGTAAAACGTATTTTGATGGGCACTAGTATAGCTTGTTTTCAAGCGCATTCTCTTTTCCGGCCATAAGCCCCCTCGGATATAAACTCTTCCATTTATAAGCCCTCTTAAAACCCCTATGAAGATGTTTAAGCCTAGAGCTTATAACTGGTAGTTTAGAGTATTTACAAGCATGTTCGCGGATTTGAATTGGGGACTACCGAGAACAAATCCAGCTAGCGGTCAGGGCGGGAACTGAACTTTGGGCCTCCGCATTACACATTCCAGTGCTCTACCTGTGGGGCCACGCTGCAAGCATCCACCGCATGGCTCAACAGTTTGCAGTGTCAGAGATCATTTTATGCGTATCAGCAATTTCTTTTGAGTACCCAGGTATAAAGAGTCCATCGTCTCCTTGTTTACCCTAAGAGCTTGTGCGAGCGCTTGCTTACCTCATCATATCGTGACTTAACATCATGTTAATCTTGCGCACGCTCTTTCTCGAAACTAGACTTAAAAAAGGCTGCAAATTGTCAATCTAATGCAACAATGGATTATGATCGAAAGGTACATAACGTAATAGCGTGTAAGCTAAATGCTAAGCAGTGAAAGAAGATTTAATCCTTAATGAAATACTTATTTTAACAGGAAATAATGCTTATTGCATTTTTTATAAGTTGCCATACTTAACTGTCACACCCAAAAGTGCTGTTTCGCGCTGTAGGAAAGTAATGCTAGAGATATCTGCTTAACTGATCGTATATTCGTAACTTGTTTTTCCGATGTGCTTCAACTCCTTTACCTTTTAAATGACAGTTACTTAAGCAAACCAATTTCGCGCCGACCCTTCAAACACAAATGTGGCTTTGAAATTTAGCAAATTATATCGTGTAGAATTTCTGTAGTTGGGTTTTATTTGAGTGGTTTTGCTGCTGCATTTGTTTAACAGGCTCAGCGGTCTATTCAAACGCCGTCGTGATTCATTCACTCATGCCAGACCAGATTCTTATCCAGTTGCCATTAATGTGTTTTTTGGGGTGAGAGAAGATTGGGCCTAGGTTGTGGCGAGCGAGGCGTCATGGGAAGGGACGAAATAAAAATGGTGGTCGCTAGTTTCTCCTCACTCCTTCCCATGAGTCCTTGTGCACCTCAGTGCTATCCAATCTTCTCTCTTTACACCAGACTAACAAATTGCGACTGCCTACGATTCTGGTGCTAGACCATAAATAAAAACTAACATATCATAGATCGTTGCGAATGCTATGGTTTTGCAAATGTCAAGCCGGGGGAATAGAGAATTTCCGAGTTGCCCAAAGCCTTTGTTTCAAATCGAGGTTAAATGTGAAGCCGTTAATATGGAACAGATACTTTCATTTCATTCAAATGAAACTCGTTTTCCCAAGAAAGATTTTGCATTTAGCCTGGTTTTGAAAGTGAGGGTTTTTGGAACTCGGAAGTGGCCTATTGGAAGGGATCATCGATTTTCTCTAGGAAGAAAATTGTGTCAGACATTGGACACAAATGTCGCCGTTTCGAATAATAGTGACGTTTTTCGGTTGCTGCTATTGTCAAGAATACACTTACTTTTGTGCGAATAGTGGAAGCAACCAAGAAGCGTCGCTTTCTAGATTAAAAAAATTGGAATTTTCGCATTCGTTCGAGCAATTTGTGGTCAATTTGTGTTCCTTTCAAGGAAGTTGGCCTTGCTTTTTACGCTTGAAGCATATTAATGTATGCATGTTATATGATTAATTATGCTTGTGTAATGTATGTTTGCATGCATTTGCTACTTCTCAGCTATAGCGGGAAACGGGGACATAGTTAAGTGGAAGGCCAGAGGTCCTGATATTCCCTCCCCCATTTTCCCACGAATTTTGGTGGTTTTGACATTATTTTGTCTGCCATCTCTGTCGCTCTTTGAATATTGAATATCAAATTTCGACTGGTGTTATTCTAGCCAGTGAATGCAGACCTATTTCCTGTCGTCATTTTTCTCCACCCGAAAAGTAAGTAGTAAGTAACTTTTCGTTTGGAGAGAAGCGACAACCGGAAAATCGTCTGCGTTCACAGGCTAGTCTTATTCTTCATTAGTCAATTTCATCAATAGCCCTTCCATGGCCCTCCGGAAAGCCTACTTGCTGATCCGGAACTTGTGGAGATTTCCCTGCCCAAAACGTTCTTAAACGTTGTATCCTTAAATGATTTAAGTATTGGCTCAGCCTATTGCTCGTTATTTCCCTGCTCCAATATCACCATTTTATCCTGTGTAAAGCAATATTACTTTCAGGTTCGTCATTTGCTGACCCACATTAGAAAGTAGAGGACAAGCAGGGTTTAAAAGGGCGCAGAGGTTTTGCCACTATGCTTTAAAAGGGCAATGTCACGAGGATATTCCGTAATTTTAGGTCAATAGATGCGAAAAAAAGCTTTTAGCTTATTGAACAGATAGCAAATAGCGTTACAAAGCCCCTTTAACCTCTCTTTATGTCTGAAGCTACTTGAGCTCGGTTTTCTGAAACAGAGCTTGTTCTTAAACTAGTTACCTGTTAATAACATTTTGTTAATTTGTATTTAGTTCCCAAAAATGAAGAAAGAACACCTGTCACCAGTCCAGCAAATGGGTGGACGCCAGCAAGGTCACGTTCATTTTCAGCTGATCTAGAAACCAAAGAGTATCTGGTGCAGCTAGAGGAAGCGACCACAATCGATGCACAAGCTGATATTCTGCACTTCCTTTACAACACTAAGTAAGATTTGGCAGCCCTTTGTGTCCCTACTAATTTCCGTACGTTTTTTATGTATGGTGTTAATGGAAGAAATTTGTTTAAAAATGGAAGCGTTTTGTCCCTGGTGTTCATTTCCTTAACTCGAATTACTTTATGTTTAATAATCAGTGCCTAGGACGAAAACCGATGCTTACACTGTAAGAGTTGGTAACCCTTTGTGTCGGCACTTATCTCCGTGCTATTGTGTTAAGGGAAGAAATTTGTTCAAAAATGGTAGGGTTTTGTCCTTAAAATTCATTTCCTTAACTCACATGCCGTTTTGTTTAAATTACAAAAGTGCCTGATTAAGAAAGACGAAAATCAATGCTGACACTGTTAGGACCAAAAGAGTGAAGCATTTTCCTCTTGTGAAAAAATGGTCAGTCGTTTTTTCCTTTTCGTTCCTCCGAAATCGCTGGCCCATCCCACCCTATAGCTGAACCGCCGTATTGACTTATTTTAGTTAGTGTAATCTCCAGATAGGACTAAGACCACTCTAGGTACAAGGAGGTAGAGAGGTGTAGGCTGTTGCTGAATGCGAGTTAGACCCTCTTTTGGCCGTCACGAAAGTAACAAATGTTAACAGGCACTGGTTCAGAATTATGTATATACTGCTTGTGTCCTGCTCTAGGGGTCCTGATTTTGACACTGAACTATTTGGAGAAAAGGGAGTCACTGTTCAGAAGCTTCTGGAAGAACTTTATGAGAAGGTGAGTCTGCATACCGAACTTGCGTTCAATAACCCGCCTACAAGCGCGCTATTCAGCAGAACCGATTAGAGACCAGTATAGATTTGACGCGAACGTTTTCTGTTAGACTTTTTTAATGTGAAACTACACTGTCTGTACTTAACGTTTTCTAACCCACTTATCCTCGTTTGATTTGTAGGCCTGTCAGATTAGATTATGGTCGCTAGTCAGGCACACTGCAGGTCTGTTGCGAAAAAGGGTAGAAGATCTCGCTGAGGTAATATACCAAGTCAAAAATGTTTATATAATATACAACTATCCGTTGAAGGGGAGGTATACAGCTATTTCAAAAAAGGTTGTCGGAGAGAATGGCGAGTGGAGAATGTCGAAAGGAGGTTGCACGACCGAAAGGAACTATGGTTACGCTATTTGGCAGGCAAAATTTCATAAGTTACGTTCATCTTACGTGAAAATGAATACACCAATTATCAACGTTTGTCTGAGGGTTCTTGCTCCGAAGACAGGCGAAACTCACGCTTTTTTCAGTTGAAAGATGCTCGTCGTTTCGTGTAAACGGCCTATTGTCTCGGACGTTACATCGCCAGTCACAAGAAATTTAGAAATATAGCGCTCAGGGCTTTTCTTTTAGAAACGTCCAAGAAAAATGAAGCCTCTGCAGCTGAATGCTGAAGAACATGGACAAATCAGATAACCTGCCATTGAGGGTCTTCACTAAATGGAGCCGGTATCATTGACTAGATCGGATAGTTGATTATTTGCCATCAATATTCAAAGCCCACAGCTCCTTTAAGTCTTACAGTCTCCGACAATTGCCATTCGCCGTTCTCTCCGACAACCTTTTTTGAAACGGGTGTATATCTAACACTATGCACTGACCCTGAAGGGGATAGTTGTTTCAGTGCTTACAAATCATTTGGATGAAAAAGAAAAAGTAATTTCTGTAAATATAAGACGTTACTTAGTAGGAGCTTTCTTGAAGTTATAATTGGCAGTGTTTCGGAGATACCGTAAAATTCCGAAAATAAGCCCCGAGGCTAATATTTTTCATTTTGGATGAAAAAAAAAATCGATTGGGCTGGCCTTATAGTTGGAAGGAAATTGACCGTTTTTGCTTTATTTTAGTTTGTATTTGATACTTGCTTATACATGGAGGGGCTTTTTTTCGGAATTTTCCGGTATGTCGAGTGTATTTTCACGATTTTGTTGTAAATTCAGTAAGAAAATAATTTTTTAACCCAGTGCCAGTGAACTTCGCCAAACCAAATTTGGTATTGTTATTTGTTGGTATAGCTGATTTATTTGTCGCTAAAATGTCGTCGTCCGAAACTGTCGCGAAACGGGAAGCCATATTGATTGCCGTGCCAAAACAGTGAATAGCCAAGGATATTCCAAGTTTTACCACAGCAGATCAAAACGCGCGAAAATTGCTATCTACTGATTTGGTAAATACTAATGAAAAATGTTATTCATCGTGATTTCTGTTAACCTGGGACCAGGCTCCGCAGTGGGAGGAAAGGTCAAATTAAGAAAATAAATATCGGCGAGCGAAGCGAGTCGAGCGTTGGATTGGGGAGGGGGAAAGGGCGGCGGAGCCTGGAGACATGCATGACTTTGATGAATGGTCAAATGTCTTCATGTTGACAGATTCGCGGTGCTGTTGACAGTATCGCGCTCTTTCAGTGTCACGCTTCTACAATTCGGGAAAAGATTTTTGAAAACACGGATTTCGAGCAAGCAACTGACAAATTTCTTTGCGACTTGCGGGGACCGTTTTTAAGAACCAGCGGGTTTGATCCCCGTTTTCGTTTAGAACGGACCGTTAGCCTGCGAGCAAGCTCTCCTATTTTGAGCCTCGCGAAACGCGCGTTTCGCGTATTCTCGCGAGACTCGCTTTGCTCTCCCAAATGGAAAGTTTGCTCGCATAAAATAACTGCTATTTTCCAAAATAACACTATTCGGCAACACTAAGATACACACCTTGGATTTTGTCTCACATTATACATATTCAATTGCCGAAAATAATTATATTTTTCCTTGACCAGGCTGCGACGGATCTTTTAGTTCATCAAAAGCAGTTGACAGTTGGTATTCCCCAAGGAGGACATGAAGAGGTTATAACGAGGTTAGTAGATTGTCAGGTTATGCAGAATCGAGTCCGCATATAGAGCTGCGAGCAAAATTTGCTCATATGCGATTGAGTCCTGTCTGCGTCGGACTTGTTGACTTTGAAGCAGAAGATTTGGGAAATAATTTTAAAATGTCAACGGTTGTCCGACTAAGCTGACTTGGTAAGACGTATGCTCTTTGAAAAGAAAAAGATTATAACGGCAGTCCTTGTGGATAAAAAGGTGTGCATGTATGGCTATCTGAAGACGGTATGTATACGTTTACAACGTTCACTTGTGAGTAAGGCCTGCCAAGGCTTGAGTTTGTACGCTTATAGACACCTTACTATACGAAGTCGGGTGGACATAGCCTCATTTGCTGTCGCTCACAGCTTACAGTATTTGTCAGGCTACCTATAGAACGTTTTTCACTCACATAGCCAGCGTCTATGCAAATTTATTGAAACAAAAGAGTTTTACGTAAGGAAAGAGTTCAGCTCCCACAGGATGGGTTTGGAACGCCAATATGGCCGCCGTGACGTCATGTGAAAAGGCTCTATATTGGCCATTTTGAATTTACGCTTAAAACCAGGTCGACGTTGTGTCGAATTGCACTATGGGACTTTCGGGGTGAATTTTGACCCAGTTCCTCTCGCAACTTAGTAGCAGCCAATTAAATCAGCCGTCGTTCCCAAAACAGTCCCATGGTGCAATTCGCTACAACACCGACCCGGTCTCACGGTCAACCTCTAAGTGGCTAATAGGCCATTTCCAAGTTGCCTGAAGCCTCTCTTTCAAAGCGAGGCTAAGTGCAAAGCCATTGGTACGAAAATGATTTTTTATTCTCACGCAAATATAACCCATTTTCACAAGAAAGATTTTGCACTTTGTCTCGTTGTCAGAGTGAGAGTTTCTGGAACTCGGAAATGGCCTACGATACCAGTGTCGCGTCGTGTATGTGTTACTAGAAAATAACGTTGATATATTGTTTCTTTCTCTGTTTGTGTAGACCTCTTCCACCTGATGAAATGAAAAACATAATTTTTAGTGTGTTTGGTGAGGATATGAGCACTGGGGTCGTCACTCAGGTAAATAGCGTGTGTTCTCATAAGTACGCGATCGCGTACCTGAGTTTTTTTTTTTTCGGCGAATAACTGGTAATGAAATGATTGAATTTATTGCGGGCGAACAGAGGAGCCCGCAATCCTAATCTCCAGGTTTCTATTGGGCATTCTTGGCACGTATGCAGCCAGCATTCCACTATCTGATCACGGGCATGGGGTGTGCACCTTCTATCACTCGTAATAATGCGCGCTTTGACCCTCATCATGTAAAACTTACGCAAAGTAAAGTATTGGAGCAAGAGCATTTTGACCTTCGATCAAAAGCCTGAAACTCGCCGGCACTCCCTAGCCTTTGGTGATTACTTGTTTACGAGAGTATCACCTAAAATTCTTCAGCCTGAGGCTTAAGAACGTTTAGCCTTCAAACTGCTTTTTTTAAACCAGGCCTTGGAAGAAAGGCCGTTGTCTTGGAATGTCCTCGTTATGACCCTGGAATACTCCCCTTACGAACCCTGGTCTGTTTTGTCCGTGCTTGTTACTCTTGCGAACATTATCCCGGCGTTTATTTTACAGGAGCTGCTAGTGTACCTTGGTATTTTTGTAAGAACAGAACCATCCTTGTTTAACGAGATGCTGAGGCTACGTGTGGGTCTGATAATCGAGGTGATGGTGGCTGAGCTTGCGAGGTCTCTCGACTGTTCTGGTAAGAAAAATAAATACGTTAGTCTTTCATTTCGTACAACATATAGTAACCTGTGAGTAAATGGAAATGTGTGATTTGCCAAAAAAAATTCGCGTCTGTACGTTTTCAACTAATCCCGAACGCGTACTTTTCCCGGCGCTTGAAGCTGGCGGCGCCATTCGCCCCTGATTGGTTTGTACTCCGTCGTGTTGTGAATGAATGGAAAATTGTAATTTGCTTTAAAAAATTTCGCTTCTGTACTTTTTCAGCCAATCACTAGCAGAGGCAAAACGAGTTGTTTTTTGCAAGCGCGTTATTTCCCGCGCTTGACAGTGGCGACAACATTCGTCCCCTCTTCTGATTGGCTTGTACTCCGTCGAATTGTTGAGTGAATGGAAATTTGTGATTTGCTAAGGAATGTCGCTCCTATACTTTTTCAACCAGTCACAAGCAGAAGCAAGACGAGTAGTTATTTGCACGCACGTACTTTCCTGCGCTTGAAATTGGCTGCACCATTAGGCCCCCCGTTCTGATTGGTTCGTGTTTTCATGTGCTTCGATAAGGCAAACCATTAAAAAAATATTGTTCATCAACATTGTCGCGTCGTAGTTGAGGAGAGGTGGAGGCGAAATGTTCAGAAAAGCGTGATGCACATGCAGAGATGTTGCTGTGCGCGCTAAACCTGTGAGAGATCTTTAGATTTGAGGACGACTTTGAGGACGAAATTTAACTTAACTTTTTTTACGGTTATTTTTGTTGAAGGAGGTTAAGCCCTCTCTTGATAGCAAATTGGTTAAACGTTTAACTTTTCAAAACTTGTTTCCGCCAATGCAACATTTTTCCTAAAACCACGCCGTAGTTGAATGACGAAGGCTATCACGTTTTCCCGCCAAACTAACGCTGGTTCCCGTGCGCGCACTGCTTAGTATGGAGAAAATTTCGTTCTCCAATTAGAATCTAAAGGTCCTCTGCCGTCTCCGTCATAGTTTTGTAAGGCCCCTTCTGACACTCAGCAACAGCAGCTCAATATCTGTTCTGTGGGATTCTGATTTTTAGGTGAGGATGCTGCGGAGTACTTCATGAACCTGAGTCCTTTTGAGATGAAGATGTTGTTATATCACATCCTAAGCGGCAAAGAACTAGTTGTTCCAAACGGTATGTTTGCGTCCGTCCATACGGACTTGCTGACTGCTGACACCTTATAAAGAAATTTAATCAGTAGGTTGGATACATGTAATGGCCGATTTACACGTGAAAACTTTGTTGTATGTCAAGTGCTTACCGCCTTGCGATAGGCCTACGATTGTATCCTGTAAATCCAATCTACCAATCTACCACTGTCTTACAAGTGTAATGGGTTTGAATTACACAGTGGATCGCATGCGTAAAGATTTCCTAGCACAGTATCTATTGCATCTTGGAATCAAATGAAAGTCAAGACCTACCGCATGTTATATCTTAAATGAAGTTACCGCAAGGTGCTTTGTATTTTCTACCAAACAAGGGATATGTTTGTCTTGCAATGACTTTCTCATTGGTTTTGCTGCTTCAGAAAATGAATCTGTGCGTACTACACCTGAGAAGACACCTGGCTTCGTGAACGCTGATCTCCCAAAAAGGGTGGGCATTAAAAAGCTCTCCGGCGCATTAAAGGTCAGAAATTTATCATTAGGTAGCAAAGTGTAGTTCCTTTAGCTTTGTTTACCAGTATATAAAGAGAAGAGCCTAATTAACACAAGCATAGCCAACAAATAGTGGGAATTAAAAGGCTGTCTACCGCTTACAAGCTCAGAAAGCCATTTTTGCTGACGTTTTATATACGAGGAAATCAAAGCAAAATAAGAGTAAAACCCTTGTTTTCGTTGTAGTTAACGTTGGACGTGTATCACGTGAAATTGCCTAATTTAACGTTTTATCGAGGAAGTAAACAAACGACGAACTTGAATTGGATGTTTTTCCTAGGAATACAACTCCAGCAGAGGTCGCTTTCGTGTGATTAAGTGAGCGAGTTAGGATAGTAGCCCCGAAATTTCAAAGAACGGGAAGTCAGTTTTAAATGACGTATCTCTTAAACTTCCTATTGTTCTCCTTTTCGCCGCTGTCTTGTAAACTCTCTCTCTCTTTTTGCCTTTCTCGTCTGAATCTAATCAGGCAGTCACCCTTCATAACAAGTTGCGGTTTACATTTGGATAAAAGTTTTTTAAAACTTAAGTTTGCGTCTGTACTCTGTTCTAACTTTTCAGTATCTGTATACGAAATCATGTGGTGTGACCATTCAAATGAAACTTCTGTAGCAGTACTTTCACATGTAGCCTGGGAACAGGCTCGCAGTGGGGGAAAAGGCAAAAAACGGGGTCAAATAGGAAAAATATCGGTGGGATCGAAGTTAAGTAGATCTCTTTGCTTGCGCTCTTACTTCATCTCGAATTCAAATATTTTTTTACAAAAGCGACATAATGAGCTCACGCTGACATCCGTTATGACTTGACGTGTTGACATTTCAATGACAAGTTATTTGTTGGAGGGCGAATCTGCGGCATCAAGGGCATGTCTCCAGGCTACGCCACTCTTTCCCCTCGCCAGACTAACTCTCGGCTCGCTTCGCTCGCCGATGTTTTTTTTTCACCCTCGCTGATTTTTTTCCTCCTTTTTCCCTCAGTGCGGAGCCTGGTCCTAGGCTACTTCACATGGTACTATTTGTTTCTTGACATTTTACAAAATGAAATTTGGAAATTTAGATGAATTTTGACTTTAGCCCGCACTTTTGGGAGTGAGAGGATCAATCTTATTTTTACATTTGAATTCACTTTAGAATATGAGCGGCAGAGGATTGCTCTCAGATAAAATGACCCGTCAGTACTCAAACAGTGTCGCCAATAACGAGGAACATCATTCAGGAGAAGAGGAACATTATTCAGGTGATGACCGCCTAGGACAGTGGATCCGGAGAAGGTGCCTTGATGGAGCGCTCAATCGAGCTCCCGAGGATTTCTACCCCAAATTCTGGAAGGTCCTCGAAAAGGTTAGTTTCTTTAGCCTACCAGCAACGTGGCTTAAAGATACCATATTGCCCTTTTAAGTACAGGTTTGAGTCATGTTTCAAGCAGAAGGTTAGAACCTTATACTTGCAACGTGGGTGTCCTCCCCTAGTCCTAATCTTCACCTAAACGCAAACAATTCTATTGAATATGAACTCATGTGGGGATTTCAAATAATTGTGTCCTACATTAAGTGCCTAAGGTCCGAGATATCACCATTTCTGGGAATAAGTGGTACAATTGCGTAACCTCAGCAGTGCTGCCTTTGTAGTGACATCTGCAAACGGTTAGACTTTCTGGTCTTCTCGGATAAGGACGAATAACAGTGGGTCCCGTCTCACAGCACTTTCACTTACTTGGTTCTTATGGAACGGAAAAGAATCCACACCACTGTTGGAAGAGAGTGAGGGGTCGTAGACCCCGGTGGTGTGGCCATTACCTTTCCTGGGCTGGGCGGGTTATCTGTAAGGAGAGATTTTAATGTAGGGATAAGCTTCATGATCCTCCTTCAGGTGCTGTAATGGCTACCTGTAAACGGTGTATTTAATTTAATCAGTGTGCTAACATTAACTGAAATAGTATTTAGTTCTGTCCTGTATTAGTTTAGAAAGTACATGCTCTGAGTTCTACTGTGCGATTCTCAAAACGGAAACTGAAATAGCTATGGCTGGTTATCAAAAAAAACCCACAAACTTTGACCATCTCTTAAGATATCCTGCGTACCTGGCGGGATCGTTTGCGCGAGGAAAGTTTTGGTAGAGGAGCTACGAAGCCGTGTGGAGAATGGGGAGGAAACGCTTTGAAATCCTCTCGCACCTTCGGCGTTCGTTTCGCGAGAATGACAACTCTCACGCGCAAAACAATTCCGCCAGTTGCGCAGGCTAGCTTTAAGACCATCATTGCCCCTCCAGATCTTTTTGTTAGTAGCATGGTTCCAAGTAGACTCAACCACTCTTGCCCATAAATGTAGTTTTAGACTATGCTACTCATGTGTACTTAATGAGGTTTCCATTGTCTTCTTTAGTGCCGAGGATTGAAAATCAACAAGCACTTCTTGCCAAATGCCATGGTTCAAGAGGTATTGTAATTTTTGACATTTTTATAGTGGCATTTATCGTCCCCTACTACACCTAAAGAAATTCCAAGGCTTATGCCTTAGAGCGGTTTTCACTTGACTGTCGTAAAACCAAAACCAAAGTAAATACACTAGCCAACCAAAGGGCGTAGTAAAACCAAAACCAAAACCAAAACCAATCCCTTTCTACAGTCAAGTGAAAACCGCTCTAACGGGTAACAAAGCCACAATCAGCGACAAAATAAGTTGAGACACTTCGCCCTAAACTGGGCTTTTTTACGTTTTACTGACTTCAAAAGGGGGAAATATATCTTTTCCTCCTCCATCCGCTCCATGCAATGTTGTGCCGCTGTTCAAGCTGCCTACAGAAAACAACAAACACCCCAACTTCAAATGGAGGGGATGGGGGAGGGGTGTGGATTATTTTGTCTCAACAATTTTGTCGCCGATTGTAGCTTTTTGTCCTCAACGACATTTCCTGTACTATTCCGACACTACTTGATACATCTTAGGTGGCTTAAGGCCACGTGATCCCTTATTAGCCAATGACAGATTTGTCATCAACCACATTTTTGTTATAGATGACGCCTGGAGAGCTCAAGTTTGCGCTGTGCGTTGAAGCAGCCCTGAATCGCATCCCAGAGCCAGAGTACCGTCAGCTTGTAGTGGAGATGCTGATGGTGTTGTCGCTTGTTGTCGAGTATCATCCTGAACAGACTCTTGGCGAAACTATTGATGTTGATGAATTAGTGTGGGAAGGCCATAACTTGTACCTCAACGATCAGGTCAGTGACATGATTACACTTGTTATGATTGGAAGCGCATCAGTGTTCAAGCCTAAAGACCGGCGTTAGGTCTTGCGCGTATTCTGACGAAAAAACATGGCGTTCGCGGTGGAAAATACCTCTTGAAAGCCCCTGAAAATGCCATTTCCGAGACTCTAAATTTCAAAATGTCCCTAGATACCTCGACCCTCAAGAACGTGAGCCTTTGGTGCGAGCACCAAAGCTGCCTACTATTCATTACCAGCCTGCTTCTTAAAAACGTTTTGACAGCCCTGAATCATACTCTGGTTAAAGATTTACGGTCCCATTGCACACTTTTGAGCAAACTTACTTTCGTTTGATCCCTCCTCTAATTGTTAGTTGTGTGTAAAATCATAAGGAAATCGAATGATTGGATTTTGCGCAAAACTTATAGTCTCAGTGTTATTTCAATCATCCATGTTGCCATGGCAGCGATCGAAATCTTAGTTTTTTAAATATATTTTGTCGGTGCAATATTTTGTACCTGCAACGAGACTTCAATAACATCCCGATGAACGGTAACGATCCATAACCTATCAAACTGTGTTTATCCACCTTGAAACCAGGTATGTAAATATCGGGTTTGCTTCGTGGAATAAGTTTACTTCTTCGGTACATGTGGCAATGAACTTACATACACTGTTTCCGCACAACCCTTTCTCATTTTCCTCCCGGATCTTGTTTACTTTAACTCGTATACTATTGTCTTACTATTTCAGATAAACATTAAAGGTGATTCCACTATGTGCTGTGCTCGCCCTCCTAACGAAAAAATCAATTGCGGCGGAGCTGCGGGGATTTGTCGTTACTTCTACGACACCGCGCCCAGTGGTCGCTTTGGGACAATGACTTACTTCTCCAGAGCTGTCGCCAAACGCGTCAGCTTCTTACCTCACCTGAATGAATGCGTCGTGGCCTAGAGTAGCGAGGCGCTCCAGTAGACAGACCTGAGGAGGAGGATCTTGAATGACCGATGCCAAACCAAACGGCTTTGATCGCTGGTGTTTTGGTTTTGAAGTATTTTTATTTTTATTTTTATATAATTTTTTTTTCAAGAATGTAGAAAATTTCGCTTTAAACCTAGACACAAATTACTAGTAATTATCGAAATTAGGAGCCCCTTGTTGAGGCAGGTATTTTACTAGTTACACAACGGTCTTAACATGGAAACGAGGCGTAAGGGTCATTATGTAGGCTGGGGTAAATGTCGATTAAAATAAGCTATTTTTAGGCGAGTATCCTGCCGGCAGAGTAAGGCATTTTCGAGCAGAATAACGCAAAATCTGTGAGGATAACGATAGCATAACAGTTGTAGGAGAATTGAAAACTAGATACAAAACAAGATTTAAGATCGTGATATTAAATTTACCTTTTCGAATAAATGAGTGATATTTTACGTCAAGTGAAGGCGAACTAGAATGTTGCTATTAGACCTAAGCCAGTTGTAAGTACATAACGCCCGAAGGACGAAAATTTTTCGGTTACCACGCACAATTAGTTAGTTATCGACAGGATATATTACTAAGGAAAACGACGAAAAATAAATGTAATCTGTTAAGTTGAAAATAAGAACTAGGCTAACTCGTTAACCAAGCACCGGACGAGGTATATTATTAAACAGTTATTAGATGCGATTTTTTGTGATATCCGGGACACAAAAACCGAATCTTATTGTATTAGAAGGAAGTAACGACAAACACATCGTCGCAAGGAACGCAATTTGACATTAGTCTTGGTAATCATACATTGCGCGCACAACTTACACGTTAGTCAGTTATCTGCTAGTAAATTACTGACTAATCTGTAGGTTGCGCCGATTTCCAAAATTAACTGTAGGTTCCTAGCCAATGAGAAGACAGCTAATGAGAAGAATGTATAATAACAAGTGTAAATAAATTAGGGCGCGTCGCTGGAAATCAACAAGTTCCTTCTATACGGAACTAATAGTTTTTTTTAACGTAATTTAAATAAATGTAGTTACAGAAAACTTTAAGCAGCAGGGAGTTTTCTTCCGTGCCTGAGGACTTTATCAGTTATAAAGCGGTGTTGTTAAATTATAACTTGCTGTAAATTATGCGGAATAAAGTATGCCTTACATGTATTGTTTCTATGGCCGCCTTTGATCAAATTTGTTGCCGGCGCACGGTCAGCGTGATAGCAAGTCCAGGAGGACACAAAAAGAGAAAATGGAGACAGCTTTATTCGATTACACGTTTTCTTTGTGTTCTCGAGAACTCGCTATCTTGCTAAATTACTACGCTGTATGTATTGCTGGAAACTGGGTCAAAGTTCGTCCCCAGGACACCCATAGTGCACTCCGACACAGCACTGATGGCAGCTTTGGAGACGAGCATGTGACTCGATATCACGTGCAACCTCGAAATGGCCCCGTAAACGCACAGTTTTTTGAAGTACCCGTGCCTGAATACAATGTCGACGCCTTGAACTTGGCCACCAAAGTGGCACCTGTTCCCTGTGACGTGTCTGCTCTAGTTCCAAGGCATTTTGACCACAACCAAGGGCTTTGCATATCCATGCCTCAATGCTGCTCTTACGTTTCAATATGGCGCCTGAAGTAGATCGCCCATGGTTCGTAAACGTCTTGAAATGTCGTTGAATTCGGTTAAGGTCCTTGAAAAGTACTTGATTTCTTTCTTAGCTCTTGAAAAGTCCTTGGAATTCACCACGTTGTTTACATCACATATTTTCTGTGATGTACGATTATTTTGCCGAGGAAAAATTAGCTCATCCTCAATCTAAGAACCTGTAAAAATCATGGGTAACGTAAACAGATTTTTGTGCGTGAACAATATTTTATTTCTGTTTCTTTATTTCACATTCTATTTCTGTACCTCAGATGCAACAGTACTGCAAATCATACCCAGTGACTGTTGCCATTAGGCAAACAGTTGTGTTAAGGGAAGTACATGTAGATGTAGTATATATAATAATGTGATCTACCATGGCTAAAGAAGTACTCATATGAAAATGACTTCACCGTGTGTTTTAGCCAATAAGGTGTTTAAAAAAGGGGGTCAAAGAGTGCTGATTTATTGCATAAATCTTAGTCCTTGAAAACCATGATTTGTCCGTGAAGCGTCTTTGAATTCTGCTTGTCTGAAGTAGTGCGAACCATGAATTCACGCGCTTCCCATTTTCCCTTAAACGTGTGTATTCGTGATGTCCCTACGCACAGGCCGGCTATGCCTGAAGGAGAATAGGCCAAGCCCGGCCAGGCCTCAGATGTTCATTATCAAGCGGATAAATCACATGAGAGAAACTAATTGCATTTAATACCGTTAACAATCCAATAGTAATTGGGAGCAATGGTGGTGCAAACGTGAGAGCACTCGCCTCCCACCAATGTAAGAGTTCGAGTCCTGGCGTTGACGCCATATGTGGGTTGAGTTTGTTGTTGGTTCTCTTCTTTGCTCCGAGAGGTTTTTCTCCGGGTACTCCGGTTTTCCTCTCTCCTCAAAAACCAACATTTCCAAATTCCAATGCGACCAGGAGTCAGGTAGACGAAGAATCGCCTGGTGGAAGTGCTACCTCTAAATCGTTATTTATTTCTCTATTTTTTATTTTATTTATTTAGACGCTCGAGGTCTATATTAACTTAGGAGCACAACCGGAGAATGAGAATCATTAAAAATAGAGAGGCGTTTATTCTCATAACTGTAACAAACTCCACACATTTAATATGCCTTTGGCAAACATGTCACCACGTATAGCAGACTATAATGCATCCACTGACACGTCTAGGTCGTTTAAATCCATGTCGTTTTTCAAAGTTCATCTTTCGATGCCAGAATATCTTTACTTTGAACCTGACGTTGAACAAGCTACAAAGCGCAAACTCTTGTAAATCACTCAAGAAACTGAATATATCGAATGTTTTTGCGCTATGTCACTCAGTTTCCTGAAATTTTGTAGCAACTTTCAAGCGAGGCTTTTATTAGATGAGGGGCGGTCTATAGATTGGGGCGTCTAGCACAAACTTAAGAGGTTTATTATTTCCACTGTGTGAACACAACACTATGTGCTGGAGGCTTTAGTGCTAGTGCTTGGTACAAAGTTATGAACAGTAGAGCCGGTCTATGACAGACCTTCTTGGTTAGCAATGTAGAATTTGGAAATTTTTTTTCAGATAGAAGTAAGTTGTACGGTCTTGTAATGTCTATAGCTAGTGAGACTGTTTCTGAAAACAGATATGGGAACTGGGGCCAGTTTCTCGAAAGTCCCGGTAACTTTTCGGACCCGAAATCAAATTTTCAAATCGAAATATAATGAACAGGGCCATTTATACGAGGAAAAATAAGACGTGGCCTAGCTAAGACGCAAACTGTACCATTTATACGAGCATGTCTTATCTAATAAGACGCGTCTTAGCTAAGCCGCGTCTTATTTTAGACGAAATGTGCCGTTTATACGGAAAGTTCGCGTCTTATGTAAGACGCGTCTTATTTTTCCTCGTATAAATGGCCCTATTAAGAGCGCTGGTCCTGGCTAGCAGACTACTCCATTTTGTTTCACTAACTGATAGTTTTATCATGCTAGATGCAAAACTATTGATACCTCGATCTTTAATGTAAACGGAGACAGCTTACCGGGCCCGTTAATTATCGGGACTTTCGAGAAACGGGCCCCTGGTTTTTCCAATTTGGAGATTCTTCAGTGAAGATCAACTGAAATAGAGAGATTTGAAGTACCTTGAAACTTTTTTACGGTTAATATTAGTCTGCATTTTTTACAGTTGACGATAAAAAATTACCTTTTTCGACAGTTGACGGTGACTTTTAGGCCATTTGATGGCTGACGGTTGACCTTATTGAGACTCCCCCCACCCCATATAGGCTTGGATAATTTGTACCACAAAATTTTCAGCAGATTAAGCCAATTTTGAGCGGGCGAATATTCTCTGCCGGCAGATTACCACACTAGTTTTAATTGAGCAGAATAATGGAAATCAGAAAAACTTAACATACGCATAATATTTCAGTAATATAAGAAAAATCGAAAGCTACAACCCCGAACAAAACCTGTTGACACAAATCACGAAAATGCCTATTTTCTCCTATTATCCTGGCAAAAACTGAAACCACCGCCAAATGAATGCCCGATTTCCCCCCTCCCCTAATCCAAAGTTGTTTGGGATAGCATGGCAATTATACTCGTTGGTTTTTAGACCAAGACAACTTGGAATAGGGGGTGGGGAGGGGGCTTACTTTTTCTGTTTAGAGGAGACAGGAGAAGGGCGCAAAAGTTAGAAAATAGATGGAATTGTCACATAAGTTTTGTCCGGGGTTGTAGCTCTATACGGAACACAATAAAGTATAAAATCAAAATAAAAAATCATTGTTTCTACGAAAACCAATATAAACGATACTTTCGAGGAAACATGAACTACAGTCTAACCTCTCTACAACGGTCACCTTAGGGACTTGAAAGTAGCCGTTGCATTGTGGAGAGGTGGCCATTAGAGTGATTTTAGTATGACCTTGAAAAATGGTTTCGGTAACTGTTTGTTATTTGTGTTATCAGCCAATGGATGACATGTCTAAACGTGGCCTCTTTGTTTTCCCGCCAAAGAAAACCCTAATATGGAGAAGACATTGTTCGATTGACCAATCGTGTTGCAGTATGACGTCAAAGCGAAGTATCAGTTGATTTCTAGAAAGTTCTCGAGCATGAAGTTTTTTCACCCGACCGTTCCCTTAACCAACCAAAAGTCACGCGCGTTTGTGTCCGTTCGATAAACCAATCACATATCTATTTCCGTTCGTTTGTTGTTTCTGTTTTGTTCGCGCGTTTTCACTTCAAGGTCATACGAAAATCGCTCTATGGGGAGGTATAGGGGTGTAGTATATAGAGGATATATTACACGGTGGCGTGAAGATATGAATTTTATTTTCCAGTGGCAAAACAATATTTTACGAACGAGCGCAGCGAGTGAGTAAAATATTGGTTTTGCCACGAGAAAATAAAATTCATATCTTCAAGCCGCCGTGTAATGTTCTTTTTATTATATAGACAAATTAACAATTAGTTCATGCGTCAGCGTGCGTATGTCGAGATATTGAGCACGCGGGAAGTTTGGAGAGCACGAAAGAGGCGTAAGAGTCGCACAAGACCTCGATAAAATAATAGAGGGAAATTACCAAAATTACGTCATCGATTAACTCACGTTTGAGATTATGGAAATTAAACCACTCGGGTCCCGGATGTAGTTTTTATGAATTTTATGAAATATAATAAAGAGAGATAAAATACGCACAAAAAAAATTGAATAATGCTTTGGAGATGGAGGCTCCATTTGATGGGCTCCTGTTTGGAACAAAATGTTAATATGACGGAGAAGTATCGTGGACATTCAATTTATGCTTACTGTAGCAGTGTAAATGGAACACAATCAAAATACGATCGCCGCGATTAATCAACAACAACGCGCCTTACGGATCAAATTTTATGATCATTCTTGACTTTTACTGCTTTTTCATCAGCAGCGGAAAAAACTGGCCGTTGTCGAGAGGTTATTTTGGCAGTTGGGGACAAACTTTCGTGGCCGCTGCCGTTGTAGAGAGATGGCCGTTGGTAAGGAGGTTTAACTACGAGTTCATGTATGGACTGTCCGCCGGGACAAAAATAAGCGGCCGTTGTTGAGAGATGGCTATTGTGGAGAGGTGACCGTTAGTGGCGGTTCCACTGTACAATTTCACTATGCATAATGTAGATTAAGAAGCGCAGGACCTAGACTATGAGTAGTCCCCATTTTTTCCTCAGGGATAGTAGAGCGAGCGAAACGCGGGCGCGCGTGAAAATCACCCACGCGAGAAAAGGCGACACGCGGCGGGGAGAGACTTATTTTTCTCTCTCCCCGCCGCGTGTCGCCTTTTCTCGCGTGGGGTGATTTTCACGCCCGCTCGCGTTTCGCTCACTCTACTATCCTTGAGGAAAAATGGGGGACTACTCGTAGTCTACGCATGACCGCACAGCCTCCTGGCCAAATTTTCGAAAATCCACCGTAAAAACTCAGAAAATTTTTCAGGTACCAAGCAACTTTTGATTGTTTTTTGAGCATTTTTTGAGAAATTTGTATAGGTAATAGCATGATTTGCAGTGATATTTGGCATAAATACCACGAGTGCTATTTCGAAATTGAGACAATTTTGAAATATCACGAGTGGTATTTATGCCAAATATCACGTACAAATCATGCTATTATTTGTTTATACTACTACCCGCAAAGGTTTTGTAATTTTCATAGGTAGGTATTTCAAAGTAAACTGAAATACCACTGATCTAAGCCAATCAAATTGCAGAAATTTCTCATGTAGTAGTATAATTTGAGAAATTACGGGAAACTTTTTGAAAATCTCGAGCAACTTGTGGAAAGCCCTATACCCGAGAAGAGCTAATTTTGAGTAGAATAAGCTATTTTACAGGCATTGCCGGCAGGCAGAATAAGCCATTTCAGGGTCTCTTCACATGAGCCCGCGGTTGACCGGGCTGGCCCGGTTGCCGGGACGAACTTCGCCTTGGGTTCATATGAGAAATTTCAGCCCGGTTTCCGAAACAAGAAAAGACCAAAGATCCTTGGGACGAGTTCTGGCGCCAAATTCGAGAAACAAAGCAAACATGGCGAAATACAAAATTTATAACTTTCGCGCCTATCATAGCTTCGGCAAGTCTTAAAGCTGCATTTCTGCTGTTAAATGGGATGCTTATGATGATGAAAATACAGCGAGGTGAATACAAGACGATGCCATCCGGACCACCAGAATTCATCCCGCTTTCATCCCGGTAACTGGGCTGAAGTGTTCATCATATGGCAAAATTTCCAGCCCGCTTAATTACTGAGATCCCGGTTGGAAAAAGCGAGATCTCGGGAACCGGGCCAGCCAAGGCAACCGGGCTAGTGTGAAGAGGTCCTCAGTAAGAGAAAACTTACGTTCCCTCTTCACGTTCTCATGTCGTGCCCGCACGTGATCTGTACCTTGTACACACGAGACATTACGACTGCTTGTCCTTACCAACTCACTGCCGAGGAGTGTTTTTCTTTTTGACCTTTTTCATACGCTACTCACTCAGCTGCACACTATAAACAAATTAATCCTGTGAGGGTAACGAGAATGTAAGCAATATGTTTTAAAAAGCAAAACAACAATTCTGCATGTGTATCACGCGCTTTTCTGTCAATTTCGTTCTACACAATTACGACGTGAAATGACCAAATCTAAGTTCTGCTGACAACGCGAAAGGCAAGACGATAAATTTTACTGTATCTTTTCTTCTGAGCTCGGACGAGGTCTTCATTCTCTCCTCAGCCCCAGCTAGCTATTTCCCAACTCAAAGGACTGAATGAGTTGGAACACTCGGGAAAAAGTTTACTTCAGTCGCACCGCACCCGACTGTGTGAACGCTTGGTGGAACAGACTAGAAAGGACACAAAGTCAGTCAGTTCATTTTCAGTCAGTGATCGACAGTGGCCAGTTAACCTGAAAAAGGCTGGTATGGCCAGCCGAAATATTGTTATGAAAAAACAATGCACTTTGTTCTGAATCAGCTTTGCAGTAGTCTTTGGACTTCTCGTTTTTGGTTGTTTATATTTTGGCTGATCATATATCTCTTTTCTAGAGATCCAGCGTTTACAACTGGCAGGATTTTCGTCCACGGTTTTTGCAGTTAATTTATTTCCTTTTTACGGTGTCTGTTATCGACGTCTTCCTTAGCCTGCTTTGACCTAGGAATTAAAAATTTGTTGTTTCTTTTTGCTCTCCCCTCCCCACCAAATATTGCAGACGAACATAAAGACTTTGAATGCTGGATCGACCTATGTTTTCCGTAATGAAGAAATGGGTGTTGGCTTGGATAATCTCCTTCTAACAATATGTCATTTTACTCTAGGATTGGAATTTTTACTTAGAAAAACGCATATCTTTTGAACGACCAGCTTACACTAAGCTAAAAAAAAAACACTAGCTATATACTGAAGCCGATTCTACAAGAGGTTATTTATTCATAGAGTTCAAACTAAATATCTTGTGACAGCTAGGCGCAAGATGGTTTTCTCTTCTAATCTTGGCGGTACAGTAGTTAAATTCAGGTGTTTTAAGAGGCTTAAGTCTTGAAATCTGACCGCAGAGATTTTAAGATCAGTAGATTTTAAATCTTGAAATGGAATAGCTGATTGGCGAAAGTTATTTAGCTTAATTTTGTATGCAAAACATTGAGTTCGGAACAGTTTAACACTTCTTAGTGAAATCATTAAATATTAATTCTATTGACAATAACGAAGCTAGCTTCTACCAGGCACGTATTGAAAGTTTTCCATAATTTTATAGCGCGATTGCTGAAGGATTTGACCGATTTAACAGTTCAACTAACGACTTTTTTTATAGTCTTTATTTTGTTGGGGAGGGTAAATCAAATTTGATATATTCGCCCACTCTTCATTCTAAAAATAAATAAAAGTATAATAAATAGCCAAATAGTGACCTCAATGCAAATCGTCCATTTGAATACGATGAAATAATTTCACCATATCTCTTGGCAAAAACGAGCACGAAATCATATCCGGCACCTGCAGAGCCTCGAATCCCGTGTTAACGTTACCATAGCAACGAGTCGTGGGTGGAAAATACGAAAATAGAGAACCCAAAGGAAGTTTACCTATTAGATTTAGCAAATAGTGTCAATAACAATACATTTCTCTTCGTGGTTATTTTTATATTTGATTGATTTTTTTTTTGGCAAAACCAATGGAAGATTAAGAATTCGATAAAAATCTTTACTCTTTCAAAACCTTTTAGAAGAGTGTTTCCCACGTGCTTTTGATCTCTCGCCCTCGGATCACGAACTTCCTTCTAATTGGTCGAATTGTTGTAAGTGATGACTAGCGTTACGTCATCTAATCACACATTCAAAGATCAGCCATAGGCCATCGCTTTTCGACTATTAAAAGTCTACAACTGGCCACGGAACTCACTTACAGCCATCCTTGAAATTTATTCAGCGTTCAAACGTGTTCCTTTCTCTCTCTGAAGGAAGTTTCTGCGGTACAAAGAAGGCAATCGAACTGCCGTTGACGACAAAAACGCTAGGTACGTTTCATTCTTTTTACGGCCGTTCGATGCAAGTTGGCGAAGTTCGAGCTGCGAGGGCAGAAGATTTTGAGCATTTTCGCCGGCTGGCAGAGAGCGTCGATGGATGGAATCTTCAGTACGATAAACAGGGGACGAAAGTGTTCTCCAAAGTGAAGGATGGCTCTACAGTTAGGCTCATAAAGGTAAAGGAAAGCACATTATTTTGATAAGCGACGGCTAATTTAGACCGCGTAACCGCGGGAGTGTTAATTTGACTATTTAACGTATCTTGAAAGTTATTGATAATACTCGCAGAGAATTCTCCCCTTTTCTGGTCGGAATAGAGGGTACATTTATCGCAAAGACAGATCTGTTGACTTGTCGTGGCTGAGATACCGGATGGAATATTTTTGCGCGCAGGTTGGGAATATTGGCAAACCACATGTTTCTCGACCAGTCTCGACATTCCAACTTTCTTGAAAACAACCTTAATGTTTTTGAAATGATTGTTGTTAAATGAGCTTAGGTATGCTGTCTTGAGGATTATTAGCGGTTTAACTTTGGTTCTCTTTCAGTGACCTGGTCCTAAGTGTGTTTCAACGCTTTCGCACTTAGGTTAAGCTCACATAAGGGTGTACTTGACTAGTAAGCTTAATGAATAAACGAATATAACCTTTATCTTTCAAATTGTTCCTCGAAATAATTTTTTTTTCTTCTGCGAATAGGTTAAAAATTTTCTGTCTTTGATAGTCGAGATTATTTAAACTTACTTGAACTTATCTAGCTAATAAGAGTGAAGAGGGAAAAAGTAACGCGATGATATAATGCGTGGAAGTCAATATATCAAAACGGTTTGTGGGTTTGGTGGCTTTCATGTGGCTTTTGAGAATGTTTCGCCAAAAAAAAAAAAAAAACAAAACATCATTTTCATGCCGTGACTGGTTAAAGAAAGGCCTTTTTTTTGTTGTGATCGACATGATGCAAAATGGAGTTATAAATGAGACTGAATTCCAAGCTCATTCTGCTGAATTTTTTAAACTCTGTCATCAACTTGTCCAAATTTATCTTATCATGAGAATGAATGGGTCTGCTGTTTTCTTTCAAATCAAAGAGGTACCTGTATTTTATTACCCACTCTCCAGTCATAACAAACTGTTATCTATGAACTTAGTAGTTTATGCCTGCTTGGTGAGCTTTGGAGCAGATTCCATGGGGGGTCAACAAATGATTAATCCCCAGGATGGGAAATCGTGAATTTTATTATTTTTCATTCAAAATATTTCTCCATTTCTAATTGGCTAAAAACACACGCATAATTCATCATAACCAGCTACTATTGACAAAATTTGGACGAATTCTGCTATTAATCAACTGATGACGTCAAAAGTGCGGCACAGTTGCAGGTTAATGCACCGTCAACCAGGAAGACCTGGGAACGAGGTTGAGTTGTTTTGGTTGTGAAAAGAAAAATGGCTGAACACTCGGCGGAACATTTAACTCGTTTCACAATGAACTATAGTCTAAAAACATAGCAAGAAGACAACTCCAAGGACAACATCTGCTATTTGGAGTATTATTTGCAAACCTGAACAGCCCTTTATCTTCTAAACATGCACAATCGAGGTGAACTTAACATTGACAAAGGTAGCCATGTTTTTAAACTAGGAATTATTTTCAATGTACAGTAAAGCAATTCAGCTTTCCTTGGCCTTCGGCTTCGGTGGATAACACCATCCTTGATTTGCACAATTCTTCACATCCTACTCAGCCTTATTCACTACTTGCTAACTATTCTCTTCCCAGGGACTTTTAAAACCCTTGTGGTTTTGTTCTCATGTGTAAGGTCTGTGTAGTCACTTTGATATTGATCTCAATATTTTGACTGCTTGTTGATATCATTAGGAAGCTAAGTGGTCTAGAATGGATGTGATCCTTACTTGTAAGATAGTGTTGTGGTTGTAGGTGATTGGAGGAGTTTGTTTCTTGTTGTTAAATAAATGTGCACTTGGCAGGGATGCAACCAAGGGGGCTGTTCGTTTATTAGCTGTGGAGGGAAGGGTATGTGGAAAAAGCTGAGAAAATTTTCAAACCAACCTCCACTTTATTGAGGCTTTTTAGAAATGACCCCCGATTAATTTACCTGTTGCAGAAGTGTCCCCCACCTAACTGCTGTGGAAACTATGAATATATATACTGTAAGACCTATTGAGCCGCTATGAACAAAATCTTTATTCTATGCGTGCCTATGCGTAAATAAAGATTATTTTCATGATGACGTGTTCAGCTGTGTTTTTCCTACGTGCTAAGTACCCAAAAATTGTTGACAATGATGACAAACTTTCTAGCATTTTTGTAATTTAGCTTCTAGCCTCTTAAGCCAACAGCAAAAGTGGTGAAGATGTTTTGCAAATAATAGAGCCTGAATCATTAAAAAGTCTAACAACAACAACAATCTTTATTTGCACTGACTCTTGCCCAAAAATAAATTACGACAATGAAAATATTGAACGTAAAAATTAGAGTACTGGCTGCCTGGGTTAACCATGGTGGCTAGCGGAGCCAGGCAGCCAGTTGACATCAGCTGTAAATAGAATTAAATTACAGGTCAGCAAGAAAACTGAAGCACAAATGCACACATAAAAAGAAAAAAAGAAAAAAAAGAGAGAAGAGGAAAAATGCTATTTCTACGCTATGAAAGAAGTCTAAAATAGTTAAATTTATATATGAATACAAAACATTAATATAAGAAGAACCTGAAAAGGTGACAGAATTTAACAAAAGACTACTTTGCAGGTAATTTGGGAAACGACAATAGCTAATAAGAATACAAGTAACTAATAATCTGATTCCTTGAAGTTTAAAATAGAGAAGGTTTTCAAATTTTCGCAAGTTGAGTTCCACACTTTGGAGCCCTTAAATCCTATGTTAAATATTCCATAATTTGTTCGTACTTTAGGTAAAGTATAGAACGTATTTGAGGCAATTCTTGTATTATAGTTATGTGTTTTATTGAGTTATGTGAATAAAGTATCAAATACAGATGGTAGACGTCTATTGTGAAATTTATACACAAAGACTTTGATATTAAGAAAGATCTAGACAAGGTTAGGCAGATTAACAATATTTAAGTGTTTGAAAATTAGACTAGAGCACTTGCTCATGAAATACAGATTTAGTTGAAACATACATGCACTTATCGTCGATTGAGACCCTTAAAGCAGTGGTTATCTATGGCTTAGATTTCATTCTTAACTCACATTATAGAGAGTTGTATGAGAGGGATATGAACATCAATAAATTATGTCAGAGATTCTAGTGTGAAAGGAGTCAAACATTACATTAGGATCAGGATTGGCATGCAATACACCTTTCAAGTCAACTGACTGGATATCTTGAATAAGAGCAGATTCATCAAAATTATAATAATTTCTCTTGTAGATCTTGACATTGTTAGGTAAAGAAGTGAATTTTTTAACAATAAGGAAATTAGGTAGATGATCAATAAGATCATAAACAATATTCCCACTTCAGGTGAGGTGTTCCAAAGAATTGAAGAAAATGTTATCAACTCCAACTCTTTGAGCATTTAAAAGACTGGGTTGAAAAGTGAATGAATAACCTGGCATTTCGATAATGGGTAAAAAACTTTGGTCACCTTTAAGCTTAATCTCAGTGTCAGTGAGACTCAGACTATTGAAAAAGGCAATTAATATAACTCAGATAGCATATGTTGCAAATAATCAAAAGTTGGCTAACAGGCACCTAAGATTGCAGTGCAAAGCAGAAAAGCATTTGTCAGAAAGATATTCGTTTATACAATGATTATCGTGAAAGTCATGAGAATTATAGTACTGAAAACTCAAATCACAGGATAAGTGGAGATCAACAAGCCTCGCCCATTGTGTTGTTTCCTTATACAAGGAGCTTCGCTTCACTCTGTCTCTCCTCACCCAGGTGTATAAATAGGTAACGACAACATACTGCTGGGGGGTAACCCTTTGATTGACTAGCGTCCCATCCCGGGGGAAGTAGGCAATATGATGCTTCATGCTAAGGAAACCCCAGATAAGCTCCGGCCATTTGGGCCTTTGGCTCATATGCGCCTTTACCTTTTTTACATTCAGTTATTTCAATTCATGCTCACAACCCTCAAAGTTAAAGTTTTTGCTTGGTCGCCATTGGCGACCAAATCTTTTGGTTTAGGGAGACTTTGTTACAAATCAAGTCGCCACCTTCAAAATTTTAGGCGCCATGGCAACTGAAATGGTTGCAACTTGGAGCGTTGCGCTCCTGACTGCTTCATAAGTCTACTTTTATTAAATTAAATGACCTCCCCCAGCAGAATAGCGAGCCCTCCCTTACAGCTTTATGTCGTACTGTAAAAGTGAAATGTCATCCAATGGTCTGTTTTCCTTTTAGGTTGTAACCAAATTTAATGATGTTTCTTGTTCGTTGATGTATGATGTCCTCCATGATGGAGACTACAGAAGATGCTGGGATGAAAACATGGTAGATTGCTACGAAATTTGCCAGCTAGACAGATGCAATGATATAGGATATTATTCCAGTAAGTTGACCTTTATTACTTTAAATCAGCTCTGGTGCAACGTCCCCCTTACTAGGGGCAACATAGGGGCAGTTTTTGCAGCGATGACTATGACCACATCAACAGTGTCAAAAAAGCAATAGGTTTAATGAGCAATAGTCAGTAACTTCGCACATGTTTCACACTTTTTGTACATTTCTCTGTCATCTCTGCATCATCTCTGTACACATGATTACAGAGTTGCGCTCTTTTATGTGAAGTAATTATGGAGGACTCAAATTTATAAACTTAGGCAAATTTTCCTTTCTGTTGTTCTTAAACTTAGATATTGTACTTTGTAGTCCAGTTGATGTATGACAGTTCAATTCAAGGAACATTCACCAACCTTGGAGAAATTAAGCAGGCTTGAGCTATTGTGATAAAGTTTGAAGGTCAAAAATGCACTTGATGTCAAGCAGGCTTATTTCTCAAACATTAGCTTGTAATTGAGCATAATTTGATTAGTAATGTCTTTACTGCCCTCGTCCTGGTTATATATTTAAAGGCCCTAGTGTCTACATTGTACATCAAAGATTCGTCGGATCAATTTAGGTGTCTTGGTAACTTTCCACCTACCCCTCTCCTAAACCAACATTTTTCCCCAAGTGAGAAGTAAGTGTTAGATAATCTTAGCTTAGGGGAGGGGTACCCAAGTAGTTTCCCAGAAACCTTAATTGATCCGATTCGTCTCTGTTATGCTTGTAGGAATTACATGTAGCTTTCAGTTAATCTTAAGAGTCAAGTTAACTTTCTTGGCACTCGTGGTGTGTTGTTTTTAATTTAATCATTATAATGCTTTTTTTATATACCAGTCAAGTGTCCAAAACCAATGAAAAACAGAGATTTTGTGACCCAGAGGTCATGGTCTTGGAAAGATGACAACTTCATTATCTTTAACCATTCCGTGCATCACAAGGTATGAAAGAAACAAGTAACTGTTTAGATAACATACTGTGCTAGTTAAAAAATGTAGCAGCATTAGGATAGTTGAGGGAAAGGTTAATCTTTGTAAAGGTAATGGTCCTCATTTAATGTTTGTCACTTGTACCAGTACTCATTAGAATGACAAACCTGAGGACCCCCCCCCCCCCCTTACCCCCCCCCTTCTTTATCAATGCTCCATTTTACAGATATTTAAAGTAACTTAAGGCTACATGCAAAATATAGAAGGCGAAACAAGGATTTTGAGGTCACATGAGGGAATCGATTCAACTCAGAACCTCCTGCACAAGGCCACGCACAAAGCAATTTTGGTTATCCTTATCTCATCTAGGTGGAGAATGTAAATTAATTTGGCCCTTGTAGACTTGCAGCAATCTTCACAACCTTGGTGTGCCAAAAACCTTTAAATTGAGACCAAAAATGTAACCAATGGAATAGCCTGTGAGTAAGCTCTCCGTGGTGCTCTGTAGGTGGGGCAGGAAAAGGAAGGAGAGCTTGCAACTACACCTCTAGAATTTGAATTCCACCTCCAATTCCCTTGTGGCTCCCTGTCGACTGGGCTGTCAGATTTCCGCCAATCAGCGCAAAGTGGAAATGAGCCTGAATGTTAACAAACATTGAGAAACACGTGCAAGGGATAATGACGTCATTACCAATGTCATCTCTGCCAATCAGCATATTTCCGCATTGACTTTTTCGATGCAGATATTCAAATTCCAGAGATGTACTTTCAAGCTCTCCTTCCTTTTCCCACCCTGCCTCTAGAGTGCCCCAGAGAGCTTGCTCGCAGGCTACCCATGAGAATGCAAGATACACGTACTGATTTCCTTATTTGATGTCTTGAAAAATGGATGGCGAAGTCCAGTAGTCCTCCACTTGCCTGCAGTCAATGTAAAACAAACAATAGAGAGGAGAAGTGTGTATTTTTGGATTACAACAAAATATAATTCACAAAGAAAAAACAAAAGAAATTAATATTTAATGAGTGTCTTTATATCTGAACTTTATTGAACTTTAACAAATACAATTCTGCACTGTACAAGATATTAATCAACAAAATGTGTAGTGCAATTTGCAGCTTCATGAAAGTGTTGATTCATATTAATAAGACTGGCTGGTTGTTTATGAGAGCTTAAAAACAAAAGAAAACTTCAATTGGGTAATCCCAAAAGTGGTCATGGTTGCTTACCGCAGCAGTTGCTTACAAGAGCTTTTCATTACAAAGTTTAATTTACAGTTCAAATGGGGTTTCACAAAGGTGGCTGTAACTAGAGCTGATCACTTACAATAGTGGTCACAAGGAGAGCTTTGACTGTATTTGAAAAATGCGGCTCTTTGCTTTTTAAATTTTTTGGGCTAGTTTGTTATTAGTGTCAGCAATTTCAGTGATTTTTGTTTTTGTTACAGAGCGCACCAGTAAAGAAAGGATTTATTCGTGGATCATCAATTCTTAGTGGTTACTATGTCCAAAAAAAGGGTGAAGGATTGTCTCTTACTTATGTATCTCAAGTGGATTTAAAAGGTAATGCAGCTTTAACATTGTTCAAGATTGTTCTTATTTTTCTTTACCTTCACCTTGGCATATCTTCCCTTATTGATATGTAGAGGTATGAATTTAATGGCAGGGGTATTTTGCAGAATGCTGAATGGTCGCGGAACGCTGAATGACTCTGAATTTTAGTGATTAGAATAAGAAACTAAGTGAAACAGGTGCCATTTAGAGTCATTATACTGGGCAAACTGACCAGAAACTTAGTTCACTCAGTTTCCTAACCCTAATCACTAAACTTCAGAGTCAGTTGGCATTCGGTGGCCAGTTGTCGTTCTGCAAAATACACCCCTGCTGTAAATTGGACTGTTAAGCAAGAAGTACAGTATTGCTTATGAAGAAGAGAAATAAAAAAACCTTTGTCAACATTTAAGCATGGATTTTTGGGTCCTGCTTGAGTTGGTGCTTTATCATAACACCTTAGATTCCTGAAACTTCATCATTCAGGTTATGTAAAATTTAAATGTTATTTAACTAAGTATTTTAGTTTTTACTTTCATGTCTCTTTAGGAAATTTGCCAAAGTGGTTAGTCAATCGAGCATCTACAAAGATTGCTCCGAAGGTACATTGTATTGATCATGTCTTGTACTTTTTTATTTTGACCTAATTTTAATATTTTTATACAGTGAAACCCCGCTTTACGGCCACCTCGGTAATACGGTCACATCGTTATTACGGCCACTTTTTTTGGCCGCCTGGCAAAAACCGCCATACATTTTGTTGTAAAAAAACCCTTGTTTATACAGGCAATTTTTTTGGCCTATTGGTGACTGTATTAACGGGGTTGCACTGTACTAAGTTAAAGTAGCGTCAATGATATATTCAATACCTCAAGCACAGACTTCTAGTGGCCAGCCTGCTTGTCATGTACAAACTTTGTACAATAATGTACCTGAATAGTGGTGGTTAGAGGACCGTGTCTTGTTTGGAGGTTGGGGTTTGATTTTTCATTTTTCTCTACAATGTTTTAATTATAACACGTGCAAAAGACATAAATTGTACTTTATTTTAACCCACTCGCCCATGGAAATTTTGTCATAAACACTGTTTATCTGCCCAAAACCTTGTGAGTGAGAAATTGTAGGTGGGTAGGGACCCATTGTCACAAAGAAGTACATGTATAAGGCTGCCAGTTCAGCTGAGGGGAGAAAAAAAAGGAGCGAAATGCATGGCCTCAAATGACAGCCTGTATTTTCTCAGGTTTTTCAAATGGAATGGCAAAAACCATTAAATTTTCTAGTATTGAACTCATGATTTGTCCACTTAAATGGTAGTTAAACTAGAGTTCTCCTTTGTTAAATTCTCAGGTCATAAAGAATATTCATGAGGCTGCTCTTGATTATCAAGCATGGAAGGCTGAGCATGCTCCTAGCTATAAACCATGGATCTGGCCTGAGCAAAGCATTCTTCCAAAGCTTCGTCGTGACGACGTTGAGTCTGTTAGTAGTGAATCTCCAAGTGGATCTGATCAGGAAGAAGAGATGGTGGGTGACCCTGCAAACTCTTCCAGTGAAGACAATTTGGATGAAAATATAATGCTCTGACACGGGAATAATATTGTTCAAGTGTCCAGAGAAAAAAAGACAAGAGAGAATAAAAATAGGAAAAAAATATAAAGGAACCCACTGTGATTTTCATGCAGTGTTATTTTTCTTACATACAGATTGCTTTCATCCAAAAGCAAATAAATTACATCATACAATGTATTTGGAACAAATGAAATTTGTAAATGTTTAGCTAAGCAAAAGGGAAAGATTGATGAAAAAAAAAAAAAAAGTAGTGTAGCTGTACAACCATAGACTAAGTGTGAATTTTAGAGCCTAATACTTTGGAAGGGATCATTCGTAAATAATAATTATTCTTTCAGCATACGTTTTCTATTAAAAGCAAGCAGTTCTAAGGTAATTTTCTCAACTTCTAAAATTTCTAGAAGGTAATACTGTGGAAAATTTGTTAAGTAAAAGATAAAGTATATTTAACTTATGTAAGCAGACAACTTCACCAAATTTCGACCATACACAACCAGTGTCAAAATCCATATTCTTCCTACTTGTTTCCATGTTATTGCTGTCAAACTGGTTGGGAGAATCTGCCTCGCAGATCTGCTGGCAGTTCTGCAAGTTTTGTGGTTGTATTATTATTTTTGTTCTGTCAACTGTCGTACAGTAAAAACCTGTGAGTAAGAACCTGTTAGACTAAAATTTGCCAGTCAGCAAGCACAACACAAGAACCTGTTTAGCCTAAAAATTGAAACAGGTTCTTATTTTCTAAAATCTATTAACCAACATTCCATACATTTGGACAAATAAGATAAGTCAATTTGTGACATAGGTGTCGTATCACGCTAATTGCAATGTGTTGTTACGCAGATTTTACATGAGGAATAAGCTGAATACCACTTAATACTCTTGGCTGCAATGTATTTTTTCCTTCGGAAAATAAGAACCTCTTTAAGAACCTAAATGGCCTAAATTTGTGCTAATTACCGTTTAGGTACTAAGAAACTGTTTAGGCTAACTTGGAAAAATGCAGGTTCTTACTTGTGGGTTGTTAATGTATTTAGGTCTTCTTCTCACCACTAATAATATTTATTTAAAACTGCTGTTAGAAATGATATGACAGACGCCCAGGCATTTATTTGTAACAGTATATATTTTGGGCTTTGCATCGTTATCCAGGAAATAATTTATTGTTGTGCTTGAACACTTACTAGCTGTAAATATTGGAAATGTTAATGTAGATTGAAAATGGTAATGTTAGGATGTTGGTCCACTGTATTGTGTACAAAGCTGTTAACGACTTATAGGTCAACTATTCTAAGTTCCTACTGAAAGTAACTGTAAATCTGCTATTCATTCCTCAGTTTAGGAGTAATAAGGCCCGGGGGAGGGGGGTACTTGGGTAAATTTTTGCTTGGTATGTGCTGCTGGCCTCTCAGAGCCCCTACCCCATTATAGTCTATTCTTATAGACCCCATCTTAGTCACTTTTGGACAAATATGTAATTTTTGCCATCCCAACTTAGTCACTTTCTATTTTTATGAATTGACTCATTTTTTAAACTGAATGAAGAACACTTAACTTTTCACCTACACTACAAACATTCTGGAACATTTGCTAACCGTATGGAAAACTGTCTTACGTCAAAAAATCCGAAAATGTGTGACCCTATCCAGTGGCACATCCCATTAGCCTCTTATAAGGAAGTACCCCCATCCCCCCAGGCAAAAAGGGGTTAAGGCCACCCCTCCCTTTTCCCCTGCCAATACATTGAATAATTAAAAATTAGCAATAGTAGTATTAATTGCAAACTGCCAAACACTACATCATGCAATGATCAAAGTATGGTACTGTCGCTCAGATCTCCTAGTCAGAAATCATTTCTCTATTCCAAAACAGGAAAAAGGTCACTGCAATTCCAGTCTGGTTGTTTGTTCCTTGCTCATGAGCTCTCTGCCACTTCCATATTTGCTTGGGAAAAATGTATTCCTGGCCAGCGGGCTTAATAGATGATTTACAGTAACTGTTATTTGAGGGTATATTGTGGCACAGTTTGATAGTTTTCCATTATTGTGTGTAGGGGCAGCTGTTATTAACGAATCTGAGATGCAATATTTATCATGTCAAAATTCTTCAACTACAGTACTTATCTTGTTTCTCTATCTACAACCATAAGGCTGGAAATGCTTTTTGTGTAATCTAGTACTTTGTCTTGAGAATAAAAACTTAAAGGAACATTTTATGAGTTGTCAAATAAAAACTAGGAAAGGTATGTACCTGAGGAAGAGTTCAAAGGGGTCCAGACCCCCTCCCCTCCCCTTTCCCTTTGTCTTTGTATAAATGACGCTGTTACTTCTATTATGATTTTTTAAATGATAGTAAGAATTTTTGCCAAGACAATAATTTTCTTGAAAGGTACAACTGTGAGCTTAAGAGCCCATTTACCAACTACGAATACACATGCCTGCAAGATACTTGTCAATGCCAATACTGCTACTCTGTTCTGAGACTTGGCCCTTTTTCCACCACCTTGTCTTCAACAGAACATGAGTAAGTTCTGAATGCTGAGGTCTCTAGTTAGGTCATTGGCAAAAGACAAGTACAGTATAAAGTAAGATTTCAATGGGTGACTAAACACAGACAAGGTGGACCCCCTCCCCCCCCCAACACCCCCAACTTTGCTAAAAGGATGTGAATGCTACATGAGTGTTGATCAATGCAAATTTCAGAAAACAAAATTTGAGACCCGAGACAAACAAACATGTCTCCTGAGCATTATTCTTGAAGTTGCAAGCAGCAGGGGTCAACTTTGAAAACCTGTTAGGCTTAACAGTTCTCAAAAATCCTAACTTCAATCCGTTTCAATCTTTTCCAGTTTTGCCCATCCGTGGCATCTGTTGTTTCTGTTATGCTATTTTAACCTTCCTTTAAAGTTTTAAGCGGTTATTTTTATGTTTTTCTTAATTTAACGGGCATTTTGTAATTTCCTAATTTGGCTGAATTTCGTGACACAGCTCCTTTAAAGCTCTCTTGTCTGCAGAGGTTAAATTGGGCATTATGGGAAGCACATTCAGATGCAAAACCAAAATGATCCATTGAGTAGCCAACTTCACGCACACAACCACTTTTTTACACCTGCAATCACCCCAGCAGGTTTTACTCGTACACAAACACACAACGAAAAAACTCTTTTTAAACCTAAACAGAGGAGAGAGCAGATATCATACCTGGAGTTAACATGAATGCTCAAACTAAAATAGCTTCCACTAGACTAGGGCTGAAAACTATGTCTACCTATGCGTGAAATAATTTTGTAAATAATATTAATAAGGACTCGGAGACCACTTAGCTGACTTAGGTTGAGTGCAAAATAAAAGTAGCCACACCCAAGCAGGGAGATTCTTGGGGCGAATTATCTACAATGCAGTAATCACCATCCCTAAATAATCAGATCCTGATGAGTTCTTTCACATTGTTTATTTCTTTTTGTCCAGAACAGTACGTGTAATTATGGTTTACCAGATATATGGTATCAGCACAGCTGTATTCTGACGGTATTTTTGGTACTCTGGAAGATGGCCCCATTTGTTTAGACCTTGCCGTTCAAGAAGAGGAATACCACTCACTCGCGTCAACAGATAAGCCACAAATATGGGAGAGATCACGCTCCAGTACTGATTACCAGTCATCACGGATGAAGCCGGGAGGAACAAACCAGACCACATCAGGATCTCTCCGAAGTAGTTTGGGTGTCGGCTCAGACTCCACAAACCAGATGAAATCCATTTTCCTTTGTTAGAAGGATCTGTGCGGAACTGTGACTTCTGACGGTCGGCAACTGCCTCGAAAAAGAACCCAATCAGCCAAATGATCCACCCTAAGTAATCCTTCCAGGTTAACTTCTCATCTTTGGTAGAGGTGTTCAGTATAAGGGTTGGCAACAGAGTCACCCACACCCATACGCCTTGTAAAGTCCAGTATATCCAAAAAATCCCAGGATTTGCTTTAGCTTTGTCAAAGCGTGCGTCTTTGCCATCTCGCAGGATCCTACTGAAAAGGTACAGCCCTAATCGAAGCCCCCACAAGGTGATACAGCCCGACTGAACGACTTGGCGAATGTAAAATTTTCTTCCTCTGCGAAGGGACTGCCATGTTAACAGAATGAACGTGGAAGAACCCGCCAAATCGTAGAACTTTTCGGTTTGAAATAAGGAGGCCACCAGCCATGAACCCCACTGGATTCCAAAATCTAAAGCTGCCGCGCTGAAGAGAGGGCTAGACAAGATCTTTTCCATGATTTTTAAGCTGTCTCAAAGGCAGTCGATATGGTGAGATTACGTAACAAACACTCTCGAAGGGTCAGGGTGTCAACTAAAATATTCGTGACAGGAGGCATACAGTTGTACCTCATGTAAAAGTAAATGAAAATTCATAGGGAAAGATTATCGAGGATTCTCTAGTATTGCAGCATTTTTTTCCCCAGATTGAAATTTTATATCTAACAAGGGGGCTCAGCTATCGGGAAATCACGCTGGGACCGACAAATGTAGGAAAAGTCTTGGAAATACATTTCCTTACGTCTTTCTTGAAGTAGGTATTAAAGCATCGAAGGCTCAGCACATACAGCCCAGATTAATTTGTCACGCAAAGTTTGTTAATCATTGACGTTGCTTTTCAAGTCTACCGAAATGGGAAATGTTCTTTCCGCAGCTCCCCAAAGGCCTCTGTTGACTACAGCTGCAATCGACTTTGCCATCCAGTGGGCTCTGTGGTCTGTCGCAGCCTTTTTTAAAACGGAGAAATTCTTCGATTTAGCTGGTTCTTCCACGTTCCTATTTCTCACTGGGCTGACACTTCGATGGCGGCAGAAAAACTCCCAAGTCTACCTACGTCAGCTGATTCAGTCTGGCTGCGTAAGCATTTGGGCACTTCGCTTAGGAACGTTTTTATTCCGTAGAGTTCTCCACGAAGGAAGCGACAGTCGCTTCAACAAAGTTAGAGGGAGTCCAGGGCTCTTTTGGATTTACTGGACTGTGCAAGGCGTTTGGGTATGGTCGACTCTGCTGCCAACTTTGATATTGAATGCCTCTGACAAAGATGAGGCGCTAACCTGGAGGGATAATCTTGGATGGTTACTTTGGCTGACTGGATTTGTATTGGAGGTAGTTGCTGACTATCAGAAGTCACAGTTCCGTGCAGACCCAGCGAACAAAGGAAAGTGGATTTCATCTGGTTTGTGGAGCTTGTGCCGACACCCAAACTACCTCGGCGAGATCCTGATGTGGTCTGGTTTGTTTCTTCCGGCTTCATCAGTGATGTCCGGTCAACAGTACTGGAGCGTTATCTCTCCCATGTTAGTCATATATCTTCTGACCAGAGTTAGTGGAATTCCTATTTTGGAGAGGCAAGGATTAAAAAGATGGGGTCATTTGGCAGAATACAAGAAATACAGACAAAACACAGCTTCCCTAGTACCATACATTTGGTAGAAAATTCTACAGCAACCTGATTGTGCGAATTAGGGACATTGTTTATAATATTTTCCAATAGGCCTTTAATTTCCAAGGTTTCCTGACTCTCTTCTCCATAAACTCTGAGAGGCTTTTTAGACAATCCCTAGATACAGCGTTAAAGGGACACAGTCAGCTATGGGACCGCACTGACCTGGACACTACTTTTGTCAGTTTGAAAAGAGTTTACCTCAACCCTAAATCAAATGTACATGTCGGCTACATCTAGAAATTTGCTTCAATCTTGCCCAGTAGTGTTTCATTCGATCCTCGATCTTTTACAGAAAACCTCTTTTTGAGCAAACTTTAACTTCTTACTCATCCTATGACATTATTTTATCATATTTGATTAACAACAGTATCCAGAGGAACAAGAACAGAAGAGGTGAGAAATGCGTAGGCACCAGGCGGGAGAAATTGCTTTCATTTACCAAAATAACAAAAGAAATGAATCAATAACATCAGCCAGTAAATAATCGTTATATGTATTTGGAAAATCGATGGAAAAGGTTACATGTGTTTGGAAAATCAAGCTCTCTCGACCTTCAACCTTCGACTATGATTCATGCCGACTCTGTGTCATTTCTCACTTCTACTGATGATCAAATTCAGAAGTATTCGTCGATGTTTAACTTTTCCTGGACAAATCAATTGGTAAATTCTCAATTCCGTATCAATGGGATATAAAAAATGTGTGCTCTGATGTGGCTTAGGGTCTATAATCACAATTTGGGCTTTCAACTCTTCAAGGTTTGTTTTGAGTATTCCAGGTATGCTTCTCACTTTCTGTTTCACGCGCGTCTTGTGACGTGCAAATCAGCTAAGAAATGGTATCTAATGCGCATGTACATCAGCTGACTGTGTCCCTTTAAGTTAGTAGCCTGAGGAAACAGCTGACAATTTGCAATGCCACCACTTATTCCCCCACAAAAGGACGTCCGTGGAACACGCACAGGAATTTCATACTGATGACTTGTCACTACCCAGATCTGAGTACTGCCTCTGATTGGTTGTACTGCATAGGAAATTTGTTTCAACCAATCAGAGGCATAGCGTGTGATTGCAAATGTAATTCCAGTCATTGCTTCTCTCCACCTTTGGGTGGACAGAGGCGACGACTAGAAATTTGTCTTCGTTCCTAGGCTATAGGAAGTATACAAACCAACTATGCAACTGACAAGTGACGTGAACAACTTTGTAAATGCTAAAAGCCATGCAAGAGAGAAACCTCTACTTGCAGGGTAGCACTATGCAGATCTAGGTAGTGACACGTCGTCAGTGTGGAATTTCTGCACTTGTTTGCTAGACGTCAGATGTCATTTCGCAAGGAAAACCAGTGGTGGCATCACGAAATGTTGGCTGTTTTCTTTGGCTGTAAAATGAGATGTTGAGTGACGGTCAAGTTTCCACTTCTGCCTCGGCCCTCTTTTTCTTGCAGTGGGTATCCATGTTGCCCCACCCTACCCCTGTCAATTACTGAATGATGGCCTTGAGCACTCTTTTTCAAACTACAGCAGTAAGCAGGATCAGGTGCTAAAACAATTATTATTCGACATGCGAAAGTGAATTTCCTTCAAAGGAGTGGACTGCAGGACTTTTTGTGGAATGATGGGCAACCTTTGTGGACATTTATGATAATTGTATTATTAAGAAGTGGCCTACTCCCAAAGCAATTTTCAGGTTTTGGTTTTTCAGGTTAAATCCAATGTGAAGATTTGGATTTGTTTCTTGAAATCTATCTCAGAGAAGGATAGTTTGTCCCTGTTTAGTTCACTTTATGTTTCAAGTTGTTGCTAATGAAAGATCCATTGGAAATCATATTCCTGTATTTTGTGTCAAAATAATTTCTGATCAGTGCTATGGGTTATAGGTGAAAGAAGGGGGAGTAGATTTCTTGTAGTGCGACAATAATTACCATTATTATTTCCTTGAATAAGTGCCCATGTTCTCATAAATGCCCTCCCGCAAATAAGCACCAACTCCTAAGGCCAGATATCAAATGAGTGCTCCCCTTGAAATAAACACACCCCTCCCCTCCCCCTCACTTTCTTAAATAGTAGGGATACCAGGGAAAACATTGTATAGCCACTTTATTTTTACCCTTTCAGGCCTTGACTACAGTGGAATCAGTAAAGAAGAATAGTTTCTTTTCTGTTAAGTCACTTCCAGTTATTTCAGTATATCCATTCACTTGCAGAGTTCCTTTATATGCGTTACCTCTTCTTTCAATTTTTGTCCCATTGTCACACTCTTGGTAAATGTCGTTAACTTTCCAGGAACAACTAGACCATTCTCTAGTTTGTTGAAAGGAGATGTAATAAGCTCCCTTCTTCAAATAAGTGGCCATCCTTTGAACTAAAACTTAAAGAGGCACCGAGGCACTCATTCGAGGAAATATGGTATGCTATTTTTAGCTTCAAGTCTTTTAGGTAGCTGTTGTTGTTGTCCAAACCAATTCCCCTCTCCCCTTCAAAAATAAACACCAACCATTTTTCAACTGCTTGCTGAAATGATGGCCTGTAGACAACCAATCGTTGACTGACAGTTCTTTTTAAAGAGAACTTGACAAAGCCGTGCCAGCAGTCACTTTTAAGGAAGTCACGGAAAGACTGAAGAGAACTGGAGCAAAAGCTTAAGGCAAGACAGAACTGGGGAAGAGGCTGAAGGAAAAGAGTCCCACTCCCTCTTTCCCAAATTGAATGAAGGATAAAATTGGACTATTAACCGTTTAAACCCTAAGAGTGATCAGCATCAAATTTCTCCTGGTAATAGCCATGTTTTGTAAAATAGAGTGGTCATGAGAATTAAGGACAAGATCACACAAGATGTATTTGCTTGATATTTTGTCAACTTCTCCCCACTAATTCTGTAGTAAATGAATAGGGGCAACAAATGAGAATTTTTATTTTGATCTTAGGGTTAAAAGGATTAATAATGGCTATTCAAAGTATCCCACCCCTTATTTACAAGGTAATTTACTGACTGTAATTATTGCATTGAATATTGTCATCTTAACCATTAAACCTGTAGTTATTGGACAATTTTCATGGATAATTCTCAATGAATGGCAACAAAACAGTATGCTGTTTCTGTACTGTTAAATGTTTCATGTCTGCGACTGGTTTAAGTAGCTGGTGCCACAGACTGAACTAAAGTTCTGGTTAAGTCTGTCAGTGAAACAGTGCCAAAATACTTGTTCATGGTCCACACCTATGTCAACTCAAGCCAATCAGGTGGATGGGAAATTTGAAATGCATTTCCAGTAAATTGTTCAATCTGTTAGAGGCCCTGAGCAAGGATACCGGCACTGTTTCACAGACATTACTAACTTGGGTTAGATTACATCTGTGTACAGGCTGTGGTTTGGACTACCAAAAAACTTTTTAAGGATGAGGAGACAAGTAGAAATAAACATGCTTTAATGCAATTTTTAAAACACAACACATTGTCCAGAATTCCATCTTAATATTGCGATCTTTCAGAAAATGGAGAGAAACTCTTGAATATAAGTAAATATAACACAGGAAATTATAATTATAATTAAAATGAACATCAAAGTTTGCTCTTAGATTACAATACTACAGAAAATACCGAAACAATTTTTAATATTATACATATATAATTTGACATCAAATGCTGGACATGAAACTTAATTGTTCTGACATTACGGGCACTAAGAGAACACAAGTTTGGTACCAAATTTACCAAATCAACTTCATGGAGACAAAGTAACCTGAATGAAAATGCAAACACTCCAACACAATTCTATTCCTTTTTTTTCAAGAACAGTGCAGAGATCATAGATATCTTCTCATGGTGCTCATGAAGATGCCCCTGATGCCACAAGTTTCTCCATTGCTTGTAAAACTCCTTCACTGTCCAAATTGTTTAGCTGTACTGAACTCTCTTTTCCATAACCTGAAAGATATGAAACATGACCACACCCATCAGGTGTGAGTTATGTGACACACCAAAGCTGGACTACAGTATAAATAAACAAATAAATACATCATACATTTGTCTCGTACTGGGTCTGTAGACAATCTATGTCATTTCTGTGGTCTTGATCTTATCTTAGGGGTTTCACTTGCTAAGTATTAGTTTTCCTCAAGCGTAGTCTTACAAAATGTAACTTGTAATGGCCATTGCACTTCTCCCCCCTACCTTTCCTCTCCTCTCCCCACCCCAGCCATTATCCTATCTGCCAAGGGTGACAAAGGATGACACAGTACTGCTAGTGCAATAACAGGCCATTTTCGAGATCCAAAAACTCTCACTGTCAAAATGAGGCCAAGTGCACAACATTTCTTTTGAAAAATTATGGGTTATATTTGCATGAGACTAATAAAATCATTTTCATATCAATGGCTTTGCTTATACATGGAGGGGCTTATTTTTGCAATTTTACGGTAGCCTCACTTTGAAACAGAGGCTTGAGGTAATTCCAAAATGGCCTATACAAATGTTTGCAGCACAAACACTTATCTAATGTACACCAGCAAGTTAGATTGCTATACCAGCCAATGGTTAGAATAAAATAATTGTATGTTAAAGACCTTTTCTCTAAAATCAAGCAGACATAAACCAAAAAGGGTAGAGACAAATATAGTCAGGATATGCTAAAATACTCTCACTTCAAGAGCAATTTGGAACAGTTTACCAGTAAACATTTAAATTAGGGATTTTTACGAGGGATCTTCAAAAAATAATATACTTCAAAAGAAAATGGATACATTGGTATTCCAACAATCTCAGTGATAACCTGAGACATAAAATTATTATATGATAACTGGGCCTCTCCATGGGTACCTGCTGACATTGCTTTTAAGTCAATCATCATTTTTTTTTTCAACGAAGTCTTTGCTTGCAAATCAACATCTCAATCTCCAAAATTGTTGTTCTGTCAATAGGGATCATCACATCTTCCAGAAATACCCCCACAGAGTCTGGTAACTGTGGGTATGAGCTTCATGAGCTGCCTGTGATGAGTTTAGCCCTTACCATATCTTGCATACATCTTTGGCTGAATGCCACTGCATTCTCTCACAAGGATGGGGAGCTTAGGATTATCCTTCTTTAAGCCTATGTAGTATTTTTCCAAAAAGTCCCTGCAGAACAAAGAAAAAGTTCCAGCTTGAAAACATTGTTTGCTTGTTTTTTTATTTATTTTTTTATTATATTACCAACCACTGAAACAAAATGGAGAACGCTTTAACCTAGAGCCAAAAAGCCTCTAGTAAACACATAAATATCAACACTTGTACTGGACATGTAATGCCCAGTCAATGCAATTTGATTAAATCTATTATAAGAGGATGGCGGAACATTTTTCCAGGTGTACGGGAGGGGAGTGGGAGATTAGGGGAGGGGGAGGCACATAGTGATTTGCAGGCCAGGGAGACTCTCACCTTAGCGAGTATTTATTTGTTTGCAAAAGGTAAGGGAGGGGGGGGGTCTGCCATCCATGATTTGTTTCATATAAGTACATATATGAAGTTAGGGCTTTTCATACAGAGAGAAAAGACGAAGAGTGAGAGATGCACTGGGAAAGGATTGGGAAGGAACATGAGCACCAAGGAAGGGATTAGATTGGAAATAAATGAACATTTCCTAAGGTAGTCAGTTGAAAAATGAAAGTCTATTCAAACATATTCCATCTGAGGTACGTTTGGTGAACAATTGTACTTGGAGAAAATACTCACATTCTTCCTTTTAGTCCTAATCTCATTCCAGTTTTCTTAAACATAGACACACACTTTTTTCCATTCTTGGTTTTGATATCCCACATTTTGGAAAACAAATCAGTTAACCTGCAGGAGACTTTTCTTGTGACTAAAAAGATTTTTTTCAAGTTTTCCTTCCTGGAAGACCATTAAAGCGATGTTTTCTTGGCCTTTATATCAGCTACACAAGCTAATAAACTAAATATCAAGACTTCTTGTGACGACTGTTCGCCTCAGAAATTGTAAAAACGAAATACCGAAGAAAGTACATCAAAACATACTATACGATTGTCCTATGATTATTAACTGATATTCGTATTTCTTACCTCGTCCCTTGACTGCTCTGTGACTTTTGACACAAATGAATACGGATTTCCCTCACGTATTTACCAAGGTTTGATCGCCAAGCAGCCGCCATCTTGATTTACAGCTCTTGCCCAGATCTCCGCGTACCATAGCACCACAGGATAACACGAACAGCGTACTGTCAAGTCAAGAAGTTGTGTATATCGTCACAGGCAGCCCAAGCGCACTATGTGTGGGTTCGGGCTTCAGAGGTCATTTGGTCGGAATAATTACTAGAATTATTAGTGTATTATCTGAAGCTAAATAAACGCAAAAATCTTAAAGATATGAAGTCTTCTTGTTTGTCTATCTGTACTAGTAGCCTTTAAGATAACGAAGGTCGATATTTCTTGCATTATTACATGTGATTCGGGCCCTTATCGTTCGAATTTTATTACATGTATTCGAATCTACAACGCTAAGAAAAAAAATCATGATCACGCGAAATATTGATTCAAAAAGCTCCCTTACCTTTAGTTTATAGCCACTCTGTGTCCTACGGCCGGTTTAAACGCCGTTTAGTCGACTTTCTCTCCATCGAGTACTGAACACTATAACACTTTTATAGTGTTTGTTTTTTTGCTAGTTTCGCTTTTGGAAACGTGAACACTAGCGTACCTATAAGCAGGACGTTTGCTTACAAGGGCTTCTTTTTACAATCAATACGACAACTGAGTATTCTTCAGAACTTGTTCTTTTCATTTGCAACCAGAAAAACTATTAAATATAAGCTTGCGTATTTAAATTTCAAACCTGTTTAACAAGAGGCCATACATCGGTTCAAGTCTTTTGACATGCATTATCATACGGTCCATACTGAATGACATAAAATAATTACGCTGGACTTCACAACCAGAGTCTAACCAAACAAAAAAAAAATAAAAGCAAATTATACTTTATCAGCTTTTATCCTTATCCTAGCCTGTTCCAGGCTCCGAGATGGTGGTAGAAAGTCATTCAGTAATAAGAAATGCGAAAAACGCGCGGGGGCTGGGGAGAGACAGGGCTCTCCCATTTTTTCCGCCGCCACCGCCCCCTTTCCCAAGTCGTGCGCGTTTTATTTTCGCTTTGCTCGTTTTAATACGTTCCCACTATACTATCTGAGAGCCTGGTACAGGTTATCCTTACCCTTATCTAAGGGTCTGGATAACCGCCCCCACCCCCACTGCCCCCTTCCCCCACCTTATCTGGATACGGCGTTGCAGATTAACATTAACCGTTAAAAATTTTCAAGTTATTTCAAATCTCCTATTTCAGTTTATTCACACCATTTCAGGGATTCTAGTAGGTCCTAGAGAATCTCTAAACTGGAAAAACCAGTTCCCATGTTCTCTAAAACACTCTCTGGAGACATTTCAAGACCTTAAAACTTGCTCATAACTGAAAATATTACGAAATTTTATAAGTGAAACGCCAAGACAATGACCTCCAAACACAACAGTTAATCATCATTAATTCATACAGAAGTTAATATTTACCTTAACTTTTGAACTAAATTTCCACTTGATAACCGTCAACCGTCAAAATTGTTGGAAACTGAAATGAATCGTCAACCGTCAAAGCTACCACCCCACTGACACCCTTGAGAATGCTAGTGGATCAGAAAGGAGATTTTGGGGCGAGAAACTACGGTGGCCCACCACTGTCACGGCAAAACTAAAAACCTCACGGCAAAAACAAAATACCTCACGACAAAACCAAAACCCTGGCGGCAAAACCAAAGACCTCACAGCAAGGCCAAATACTTCATAGCACTGAAACCAAATACCGCACGGCAAAAGCAAATACCCACGGCCAAACCAAAACTATTTTGCTTTTTCTGTGAAGTATTTGGTTTTGCCGTGAGGTTTTTGGTTTTACCGTGGGGTCTTTGGTTTTGCCGTGATGTTTTTGTTTTTGCCTTGACAGTTCTGGACCACCATAGGGACAAACTGATGCGTAGCCACTTTTCGGGAACTTGCCTATCGAGCAAGAAAGTTTTAACGTCTATTGTAGCGTAAGCCAGTGAACAATTCTTATTATACATTTAAGGCAAGGCTGATCGGGCAGCTATGAAAGAATGAATGGGTATTTCATTTGCCCAATATTTTGGTTAGGCAAAACCAACCCTCACCAAAAATAGAATAAACGGTTACAATATTTCTAAAATAAAATTTTTAAAAAAATATGGATATTTGGTCGAAACCCCGGTACGTGGCCGGGTGCCCGACCGTGGACCTGGGTACAAACTACAAGAAACGTCAATGGAACACGACATTCCGTTCGGAAATTCCAACCGGGAAAACAGGACCACCTTGTGGGACGAACCGACGAAACGTGTTCCATTTAGTGTTATTTGCATCAATGTGAAGAATGAAGGATGCTTAGTTTGCCAGAAATTATCCAGTTGATGTTTGGAAGGGCTGTATTGAGTTTTATGACAAACTAACGTAACTCTTTTCTTTGGTGGGTGTTTCGAGGGCGTGGCTGCATGGAATTAGACGTACTCAGTTAGCTTCATTTATTTCTTGCTGGATGAAACGGTGTTTATATCCTCTGCTAATGAGATGAGCCTGAGTTAAGTGATGAGTGCGTTGGGACGGTTGTTGAAGAAATTGTCTTTAGAGCAAATTCTTCTTAATCGTAAGGACATGCTGGAAGGGATTTATTTTTTACTGTGGGATGGGTAGCAGGATGATTTACAGAGATTGGTGCTTTTACAGATGTTTTAAATATCTGTGGGCTTGACATAAAGATCAGTTTGTTATGAGTCGTTGCCTTAACATTCGCAAACAGTGAACTGGTAAATTTTAATTTGATGCTCCTGATTCATTTAATTTATCCTCGCCTTGTGACCTTTGTAGGAGAAAGATGTCGTCGATGTAACGCCACCATATATGGGAAGAGCGGGTAGCACCTGCTGGATCCCGTTCTTCAAACTTTCCCATGGGGAGATTAGCCTACGGATGGAGCCATTTCTATGCCCATCTCTGTCCGGGATGCGGCTGAGATCGCAAAGTCTGGTTGTCGGAATAGAGCTAGCCCGGATTAAAACGACGGTCAAGAAATTCGCTGAAGGCCAAAAGGTCAGTTAAACAATAACTATCTCACGCTTTCGCTTTCAAGTCGGAAATCTGCCCTAAACGGAAGTATAGTCATCTATTAATAAACTGCCTGGATGCGCTAACCAGCGGCGCTTAAAAATAAATCAAATGGAGATGCAGCATCCAATTCTAACAAACTGTCCGTGCGACTTAACGCTGGTGGCTAATGGTGGAAAGGAGTTCAAAGCCCACAGAAGCGTTCTATCAGAGGCAAGTCCTTTTTTCGACAGGCTCCTAAAAACCGACATGAAGGAAAGCAGGGAAGGAGTTATTCGTCTGGAACAGTTCTCTGAGTCAGTTATGAAAAACATCCTGGATTTCATTTACACGGGTTGCCTTGAAGTTTCTCTGACGAATGCTGAGGATCTGATTGAAGCAGCGGACTATCTCCTCCTTCCAGATTTTCAGAATATGGTGCTGGATTCTTTAACAAGAAGCCTGACTCTCTCTAATTCGATTTCAACCTTCTATTTTGCCAAGCGGAATCACTTTGAGAAACTTCTTGACGAAACGTCTCGATTCATTCACCCAAACTTTGCCGCCGTGGCAACTACAGAAACTTTCCTGAATCTCTCATTGCAGGAAGTAAAAAAGTGGATTAGACGAGATGGGTTATTTAAACTTAAAGAAAATGAAATTTTGGAACTTGTCAGAACATGGGTTCATTTCGATAAAGGAAAGCGAATGGGGACATGTGAAAAGTTATTTCTGCCTGTTATTGCAGTCAGTGGAGGAGATGACACTTTCTGCTATCTTCCCGGGGCACAAAAGAAACAGTGGTACAGCATAGCCTCATCAAAATACTACTTTAAAGAACCTCGACAGTTGTTGTCTTTGAATGGCAGTTTATATAATTTTAGTCTTAAGCTGTTTGGTTCATGTTTCCTACGGTGGAGTCCCCGGTTTAGTCAATGGTCTTCGTTGGCATTGCCCAGCAAACTAATCCCCGAGAGGGCTGCTCTGCTAGGAGATGTTGTTTATGGTGTAGGATCAAGGTCTAGTAGTCAGCAAAAGTTCATATGCAAATACAATCTCGACTCCAATTCATGGGAAGCAGTTCCTTTATCAGAAGCAGACATCAACAATAATTCATGCATAGTAGGTCACCAAAAATGCCTGTATTTTATGGGTGGAAAGCCGGTTTCTGCAGAAGTCAGTAGATTTGACACAACGAAAAGTAAATGGGAAAAGATGAAAGATATGCAGTATGGGAGATACAACGCCTTTGGTGCGGCTCATCAGGAGAATATTTATATTGCTGGCGGTATAAATGAAGACTGCTTCTTGCAATCTTGTGAGGTGTACAGTATTGCAAGAGATGAGTGGCAGTTTATAGCAAGCTTGAATGTCTCTCGTTCAGAAGCCAGCATGGTGTGTCATCTTGGGACACTGTATGTATTGGGTGGGTTGAGTAAGAACGATCGCGACACCACTGAAGCAGGGCTGACTGTCGAACGTTACGATGGTAAAGAAAACAAGTGGGAGGTGAGGACGGTCATACCAAGTCACGTGACTACAGAGCCTGATTCTTGTAAATTTCAGGCCTGTCTTTTGACAATATATGAGGAATATCTTGATTACTTTCAACTGATAGAACCGTGAGGAGAAATGTACATTACTTAGTAATCATTTTACATAGAGCACCCCTCATTTCAGATTGGACTTTGGGAGACTACGTTGTTTTTGAAAAGGTCGCTGCGCTATAATAGCCCCCTTTCCTTTTGTGTCGTTCAAAACCTCCAAACTAACCATAACATAAAATTTAAGAGCCCTGCCATTTTTTCTTCTCCTCCTTTCCTCAGTGTTTCCTTCTCCTCCTCTCTCCATTTTTCCTCTCCAGTTCCCTCTGTGATTTTCAGGCTTGCGGACCCAAAGAACTTGGAATGCGTTTTGGCCGTAATTTTTTCATGGCCCCAATTTTCGATAGCTGCACTATAAAAATCCAGCTAGATGTATATGGTTTCTGGTCAAGCTCAACTTTTATGTTTACGGGCGACCTTCGATACAGTGCCTCTATTTAATTTGCGCGCGTAGAATTAAAGCGCGTAGGCACGTAAAAATTACGTGACAGTGGAAATCCAGGTCAAATTTTTTTTATGCAAGCCATGGGAACAAAATTTAAAACTACGTTTGTTTAGTTTATTAAAGCATCAAAGGCCGACATGCATGGCGAACTCACTGAGGGTAGAAATGGACTTTAAAAAGCCACTCCATCATATCATCTGATCTTAGCAAACGGACGTCAATCAAACCCATACCCTAGCGTTTTAAGGTTATGCTATGTTGTTTGAAAAGCAGCTTATGGATGGCTCATGATGGATTCCACAGGATAATAATAAATTATTGGAAATGGCGCCGCTAAGGACCTGTGCCGTCATTCAAAATGGTCACCATCTGGGTTTTACTGAAAGTTCAGATTTCTGCAAAATAGTAGTCTAAACTGAGATTAGTATATTTTTCATTCTTATGGTCCAAAATATGTTTTAATCAAACTCGTTTATGCTTCGGTTTCTTAGCTCATTTTTTAAAACATTTTCCCATGAGCATCCTGTTTTTAAAACAAAACGAGGGGATTTTCTCAGGTTTACCAGCAAACGTCAGGTTCACCTCGGTTTTTCGGCTGAGTTTTAACGGGAAATCTTGAGGCTTGAAATTAAATGATTGAAAACTCTTGAGGATCACGGAATTGGAAGTGAATGATCTGTTAACAAAGTGTAGATAGCAGGCTACGTACCACAAGATGGTGAACAAGTTGAAATGCAAAGGTATACACAACGAGTAAATATAAGAGATGGTCAGGAGGTGGCGGGGGGATGGGGTGAGGGGGCCTGTGGGATTCTTCTTTGTCAAAAGAAAAAAATAGTGAGTTTGAAGGAGGGGTCACCAAAAAAACCTTCAAATTTGTAACAATGCAAACATCCTACCAGAATGCCTAAAACCAGCGTTTTTGAAATTCAGAAAGTTTAAATATTCCCAGGAAGACATGCCGCTGGACACGCCACCCTATTATGTACCAAAAGGCAATTCCATCCCGCTAAAATGCAAAAAATCATAAGCATACCAAATCTAACGTTTCATTAAAAAAATAACAAACTCAGTTAATCACTGTTAATTTTTTCTTTCTTTCTTTCTCTTTTTTTTGAGGGGGGGGGGGGTGGGGGGAAAGGAGGCTTCTAATTAATTTGGGATACAAGAGGGGCCCCAAAAAATTCTAATGAAGAAGGGGGTCATCATATACTACAGGAGCTACCCTTCGATTCCCACCAACCCCCCTCCCCTATTAAAAATGAACGGTCCCTAACTCACTGGTTTGTCCTCGCAGGGACTCTAATGTATAAATCAAACTTGAGGCAGGTACGCGTCGCTTGAAGTGTAAATTTTAAAAAAACTGAACGCTAAGGCTGCTGGTATTACGGCAAAGGGTCAATTTAAGAGGCCAATATCCAACGGCTAACAAATTAGTCTTCCCGGCAAGGCCAAAGCTACAATGAACTGTTAAAGTATTTTCTTTCCAGTGTAGCTCTGGCCCTGACTAAAGGCTAGTTTTGTTAGCCGAAGCATTGGCCTCTAATAAATAAGCTCCTTGGCCGCATTGCCAGTCTTCCGTTTAGTTTGTTGTTTTATTGAGTTACACAATATGGTGCCTATAAGCCCTTATGTGAATGCCCTTTTCTACCCTTAATTTAGTTTCCATTTCTCGAAGACCGCCGAATAAAACCACTGACGACGTATTTTTGCGGAGTTAGCCTTCCTCTGCAATCCATCGAGAAGAAAACTCTGTTGCCAAAATTATTATATTTTTCCATCTTCATGATTTAATCTGACATTCTCCTGCCGACTGGTCTTCGTAAAGATTTTACTTCCGAGGTCGAGGCTAATCCTCTATCAATGAGTCATTTGAATTGGTGTCTGTATTCAGCCATATACAGGGGCGGATCTAGGGGGAGGGTGCATGGGGTGCGCACCCCCCCCCCCCTGAGATGACCAGCAGTTTTCTAATACAACTGGTATTCTGCAAAAAAAAAACTATGTGGTTTATTGACGTTGAAGTAGAACAAGAGACGAGTGCATCCCCTCCTAAAAAAAATCCTGAATCCGCCCCTGATATACATATAATTTTTTAACTCGAAAGATCAGTTCACCCAATTTCCAGAATTTTTGTAAATTTTGTATAAATAGTCGCCTCATAAACTGTAACGGTCACTTTAGATCACTTTTGAAAATGCATGTTGACTATGATACGAAACGTAAAGTTTATATAAAAATGCGAATGTTCACTGCAGTGTTTATCACCGCTGTTAAATAAGTGCTTTATTTTTGAGTAAGCTACGATGGCTTAAGAACAAAAGTCTTTAAGATAAAAAACATTAAACTCTAACAACAAATTAAACCATTATTAATAAGTTTCCTAAAAAGGTAGGTCTTTAAATTATTTTTAAAAGTACAAACACTGTTGGATTGGCGAATGTCTAATAATGCTTCGCAGTTTCTCAATTTTTTCCCTTTTTCTTTCATAGAGCTCTGCTTCCTCACTTTGTCAGTTTACAGTTGTCTAAAAAACAATCTTATAGATCGATAAGAGCCGTTTTAGGAGCAAATTGTGACTAAGTAAATAAGCAGGAAAAAAGGTGAGACAAGAAAATGACTTAAAATGAGATCAATTTATCAACAAGCAGCTCTTAATTCTTCTTTCTTGTAAAATTTTATTCTCCTAACATTTATGACCATGACCAAGCGTCGTTAGCTCTGATCGTGAAATAGCTTTTAGTTGTGAACGTGAAAAAATGGTACAATTTCAACTTCTAAGAGTTTATCGAAATACCTTTAAATTGGTTTTCTTTAAGGTAAACAAAACTTATCAGCAATTAAATAGGCTATACCTTTCAGATACTGAGATGATGCTTCAGATTTAAAAAGTTCTTCAAATTTTTGTTAAGTTTCCAAGTCAACTTCACATACGATCCCTAATGGGTTCTCTATTTCTCCCTTTCATTAGTACAATTCGATGTTATTCGTTCCAGTTCAGTAACTTTAGACGTGCTGGAATTATAGTCGCGGATGTAACTCGTACCCGAAGAGGAACACCAGCTTTGGGAAGTGTGATCGTGTGCATTCGTCGGATTTCCGAGTCCTACTGATAACCTTATAAGCTGTTGATATGGAACTGCACGAAAGTAAAGTGAACGAAGGCGTGTGAATCATTTCTTTTGTTACTTATTCTAGTAGATCAATTGATATACTCCATGTCTGTGCTCTTTATTCTGACGTTGGTGTCGGTGAGGAAGCCCACCGCTGGTCGAATCTGAGGATATCTTTTAGAGGAATTTCTCTCTGAAAAGTGTGAAAATAGTTTCGGGCACTGTTCCACTATTCTTTGTGCCAGAGGTGTCTTTGGTGCTTGTTTACTTCTTCACATTAAATCACGAGCTATCACGTATAACTCCACCAGTATCGCCAGTGGCTATGATTTCATTTGTTTTCACTTTTTTGCTTTAACCAGGATTTTATGCAGTTTTAGAAACTATTTTAGGGCGGTCAAAGACAGAATAGCTATTTACAGTTTATAGTCGAATTACACTGACACCCCGCCACTAAAATCAGGGTTTTTTGGTCAGTATTCTTGGCGTTTTCGTGGAGTAGGGATATCTATTCTGATCTCACCTATGCCCTGCGTACCATTTGGGCTAATGGCCAGGACATCCACAGGAAGTATCGAGAACCAATTATTGTTGACAATATCCTAGGTCTATTAAGAACTTCATGCAACGCTTTGGAATTCACGCGTGATCGTACGTAAGAAGAGCTGCTTGTATCAAGATGTCAAGTACTTTAAAAACAGTTTAAAAACTGTATCGAATGGTAAGTGTCCGTACATTGATAACTTACAGCGGCTTGGCATATTTTCTTATCACCGTTAGGTAGCTACTTTTCCCCTACATTCTCTGTCATTTCCTTCCTTTCCTAGAAGAAATTAAGCCTATATAGGTTCTCGCCACGGTATATATAATATAGGGAATGGACTTTCTGAACATTTTTTCGACAACAGTTCTACCTTAATCTCACGCCCGAAAAAAAACATTAATTCAAGGGCAGATCTGGGGGCGGGGGTGAACCACTAAGGAATGGCGTAACTACTGGCGATGTAAACAAATTTTAAAAGCGAATACGAAGAAGAAGGCTTTTGACTAGGCAATAACATAATGTGAACTGCTCAGAATACATATCAAACGAACAGCAGATTTTGAATAACTGTATTAGAAAGCCGCAGGTCATCTCAGGGGGAGGGGGAGGGGGTGCGTACCCCCTACACCCTCTCCCTAGATCCACCCCTGTAATTCATAGTGATGCCGTTTTTGAGCCTTACAAAGGGTATCCGTCAGTCAGGAGTATAAGAAAAATGAGGCAATTTTTTTATTTGCCCCAAAAAGAACGGGAAACACTGTACACTGCACTGTCTCGCGCAAGGTATAATGCCAAAAAGGATAATAATTAATGGCTAATTTCTTATCACATTCGGTTTGATGATCAATGATGACAGCATGATGAACGTTCGGTCATCTGATGGGTGATGGAGGACTTCGACTAGTTTTTCTCAACTCAGC